TGCTACTGCTACTGCTACTGCTACTGCTACTGCTACTGCTACTGCTACTGCTACTGCTACTGCTACTGCTACTGCTACTGCTACTGCTACTGCTCTCGCTATACCTATTCATTGCTATTCCCATTCCTCTCCTATTCCCATTCCTATTCCTATTCCTATCGCTAATCTGTTCAATGGCAGAACTATGGAAGAAAACTACCATTCTCCTCACCGTCTTCACGCTGCCTCCTACACCCGACCTGGTTCCCAAGTAAGTACAACGGCAGAAGGAGATATCAAGATATCTTGTCTGTATTCGATTTGAGTGTATCCATCCCCAGACCAAGTTCATCCCGAAACCAAGTTTAACCCAAACAAGTTCTCACGTCCATACCCACATCCATATCCATCCATCCATCCAGCATCTGGGGTTAGAGGCTACAGGCTACTTAAACGCTTGGATCTCCCACATCTCCCTCCTGATAAAATACGATATCCCATCTCCCTTTCCTTTTGATATCTATTCAACCACTTTGGTCTTCCCTTCCCCCTCTCCTACTGATAATACAATCTTCCCTCCCTCTCCTTCTAATAATACAATCTCCCCCCCTCCTCCCTATGATTATGCTCTCCGTCTGATTATGTTAACCTAAACAACCCCGGTCGACCTCGCGACCTCGACTGGCTTTCTCTCCTCTCCCCTCTCCCTCTCCTTCTATAATACAATCTCCCCTCCCTCTCCCTCTGACGATATACAATCTCCCCTCTCCCTCTAAAACATACAATCTTCCCTCCCCTCTCCCTCTAAAACATACAATCTCCCCTCTCCCTCTCCCCCTAATTATGCTCTCCCCCTAATTATGCTCTCCCCCTGATTATGTTAACCAACAACCCAATCGACCTCGACTGACTTTCTCCCAGCCTTAAACTCATCCATCTCTTCTCCGCCGGCATCGATGGTCTGGCCAACCACCCCATCATCAAAGACACCGAGATCCCTTTGACCACGTCGTCCGGCATTCATGGCCCGCCCATCGCCGAGTGGGTGATCCTGACCACCCTGGTAGCTAGCAAGCACTACCTCACGCAGTACGAGTGGCAAAAGGAACACCGCTGGATCTCCAATCACCCCGAGCTACGCGCCACCAGCGACTGGGTCGGCAAAACGGTCGGCATTGCTGGATACGGGAGCATCGGACGACAGGGTAAGTCAGTCATTAAGTTCAAGTTTCACCCAGTCACATCAAGTTCGTCTCCCACCAGCAGAAAGAGTACAGCAAGCACAGCACAGTACAACACCTCTTGTCCATTATTATCTTTTTCTTTGGCCCAACTCTCCCCTCTCGTTCGTTATCTTGATCTTTTTCGGTCCGCCTCTGTCTATTATCTTGATCTTTTTTTGGCCCACCTCTTGTCTATTATCTTGATCTTTTTTTAGCCCACCTCTCGTCCATTATCTTGATCCTTTTTGGCCCAACTCTCCCCTCGACTTTCTCTTATCCCGGACGTGATGTTCAAGTTTCAATTTCATCATGAACATGAACGAGAACTGGATTCAAGCATCTACCGTTTGTTCCGGGCCTTGCTCGGGCAGGGGCAGGGGCAGAGGCAGAGGCAGAGGCAGGGTCTTGATTCTGATTTCGCCAGTCTGTCCCGTGCCCCTTACCCCTCTTCTACTACCTATTAGGTACCTAGTACCTCTTGGAGGCCTTCCACGCATACATACCAGACCATACTCTGCCGGGCACAGGCAGATCGACGACGTTCCCGTTCCCGAGTTTTGCTTCCGAGCCGAAGAGGGTTGAGGGGTCCTTTCGGTTATTTCCCTTTCCATTCTTTCTTTTGCTTTCTTTTCGGCTGATCCGATTTGATGTGATCCGATTTGATTGATTTGATCGGATTTGCTTTACTTTGCTTTGATTCGATTCAATTTGATCTGATTGATTTTATTTGATTAATTGGTTGAATTGATCCGTTTGATTTGATTTGATTCCATTTTATTCCATTGATTTGGTCTGATTGATTTGGTTGATTTGATCTGATTCGATTGATTCGATTGATTTGATTGATTGATTCCATTCGATTCGTTCTGTTTGCTTTTATCCTGATGATGATGATGATGATGATGATGATGATGATGAACCCAAATCTGGTACTGGCACTAATTCCAGCCCTACAGTGGCCCGCATCTTCTCCGCCCTAGGCTCCCATGTGCACGCCTACACCGCCTCTCCACGCACGACCCCCGAATCCCGCATCGACACAGGCTACATCGTCCCCGGCACCGGCGACCCGGACGGAACGATCCCTCGCGCCTGGTACAGCGGCACGACCAAGGAGACACTGCACACGTTCCTCGCTTCGGGGCTGGACGCGCTGGTGATTGCGTTGCCGTTGACACCTGCGACGCGGCATTTATTTGGTGAGGAGGAGTTTAAGATATTAGGGGGCGGGGGGGCAGGGGAGGGGGAGGGTGAAGCAAGCAAAGAAGGTAACAGCGATGGTAAGGCAGGCAAACGCAAAGGTTTCCTAATCAATCTCGCCCGTGGCCCCCTCATCGACCAACCAGCTCTCGTCAAAGCCCTCAACGACGAGATCCTGGCCGGCGCCGCCGTCGACGTCACCGAGCCCGAGCCGCTGCCGGAGTCGGATCCGCTATGGGAGGCGAAGAATGTTATTATTACGCCGCATTCGAGCTCGCTGGGCGTCGAGTATGTGTCTCGGGCGTATGATTTGTTCATAGAGAACTGGGGCCGCAAGGAGAGGGGGGAGAAGTTGTTCAATTTGGTAGATCGGAAGAGGGGGTATTGATCAATCGAAAGAGAGGGTATTGATCAACCGAAAGAGAGGGTATTGATCAATCGAAAGAGAGGGTATTGATCTCAATTAGAAGAGGGGGTATTGATATTGATGATGGGAAGAGGGGGTATTGATCCGATTGATGTTGATGTTTGGAAGGAGGTATGAGTATAGGTATGGGTATGATATGGGTATGGTATAGAGATTGATTGATTGACCGATCGATTGATTGATTGATGTATCCCTATCCCTACACGTATCCCTACAATCACACCTATACCTATACCTCTACTTACCAACCTAGACAATACATATGCTATGATGCCGATGTCGACATATCAGGTTTAGTGACAAGATAACTACCATGGTCATGGTCATGGTCATGGTCATGGTCATATCTGATAGATCAGTCCGTTGAGAGACCCGATCCGAATCGAACTGGACCTTCCCTTCCTCAGCTTACCTTACCTTACCTGATGGTCGATGGCTGATGGTTAATAGCTGATAGTGGGTAGAGGTGAGAGGTGAGAGGTGAGAGGTGAGAGGTGGTAGGTATTAGAGCTATATATCTAAGATATTTCGTGGAAAAGGAGAATCACTACTCCGTACTGGTGGTACGTATAATTCAATTATCTAACGACTATATCAAAGTCAAATAGAAACAATCGATCTTAAGATTGATCCTTAGGGGGTATATACTATATACACACGCCGCGTATATAAATACACACATACACAGCTATATATATAAGGTATATATAGACTCGTATATATATATTCGGAACCCCTATCGCTCTATTAAATCTAAAGTCCCTGATCCCTAAGTTGAATTCAACGCCACCGGGGTTTTCACGTTTGATTATGATCAAATCAAATTAGATATTATACCGTGATATCCAGTCCAATGGGTTGCTATCTCGTTTTGCCGTATATTTTCCAATATATATCTCATCACACCTTATATTCTTCACACTCTGCCATCCGATGAGCTACTTACTCGTGGTGTCATAATATCGCGTGGTATCGTGGTGTTATGTTGTCATATTGTCATGTTATTGTGTCATGTTGTTATGTTGTCATGTTGTCGTGGTCATGTTGTAATCGTCAATCGTGAGTCCAAGTCATCGTAATATCGTCCATCGTCCACCCTCTTCTCGTACAGTATCGTCCCAGTGGACCGCCAGACAAGGGATTCGATCCAGTATACTGTATGCCGAAAGCCTGCACCTGCACGTCGACTCCTCAGTTGTCGATATGTCGCGCCTCCCACCTCGTACCTCCCACCTCCCACCATAACCACAATCACAATAGATGGTTCATCTGCTGACGTTGATGGTCCGGCCGACTGTATTTCTCGTCACTTCACTCCTTACTCCTCACTCCTTAATCGTCACTCGTCACTTCACTCAACACTCAACACTCCTCAATCATCACTCGTCACTCCAGCTCGCTTAAACTCGAGGTTGGTACATTCATGTCGGTCATGAATGCTGTCTCTTCGTGAATGCTTTCTCTTCGTCGTGCGTCCGTTGTCCTATCATCACCACCACCACACCACCACCACATCACCACCACACCACCCACACACTGCGGCCGTACTGTTCATATTTCCAGTCATTCACCAAAACACTGCCGCCAAAATTTCTGGCTTGATTTTCTCGTCTTCGATCCAACCGTTCCGTTGGCATTGGACATCTTCAGTCCGTTGGCACCCTTGGACATCTTCTGTTCTTTGGCACCCTTAGACATCTTCACATCATCATCCAACCAAAACAAAATATCCAACACTTCATTCCCAAACCTCGCCCGAGCATCTTCCACGCTCCATAAATCCCTGGTGGCAAGGTTTCCAACCAAACGCCTCCATTCGATAATTTCCCTTCTGAATCCACCGTTCTGACTCTCTTCGGTTTTCAAAATGTCCTCCCATCTCCGTCCCCGGATCGTATACCCGTACCATTCTTTCGCCCAGTGCGGCCGGATCGGAACGCTGTTCCCCTGCCCATCTCGATAGTTGGACCATTTGTCCAGCACTTTCTGAGCATAAGGTTGCCAAATATCTGCCGCGTCATGGAGCGTGAGAATCTCAATCGAACACGTGCCCAGCTCGTGGCCTCGCTGTGGCGCCAGCGTCACTTGCGACGACGACATGATGCGCATCTCGAGAGGCATGCGTTGAGGACAGTCCTTGATCTCACTGTAACATGTGATGATGGCATCCCACCACGCACGCTGGACAAGCGTCAGGTCGACTTGCTGCTGCTTCTCATTCACGACACCACCGTTCATGACCGCATCGGCCGTACCATCCACCATCTCGTGACTGTCTTTGACTGACGTCTGCTTCGGCTGCAGCGGGAACTCGACTTCCAAATCCCTAACTCGGATGTTCTGCACCCCTCTCTGGAAATGTAAGGCGTCGGGGAGCCACGTTTTGATTTTGTTGCCCTTCTCACCGATGTCGTCCAGATTCTTCATGGCGAGCCAGGTCATCAATTTGGTCTGCTTTTCCGGCAAGAACTCCGTCAGCTGTAACAGGCTCGTCGCGTTTTGTGCAATGTTCATCGCGACGGTTCCGAAAACTTGCAGGATCGTCTTAGCATCACTGGGATAGCTCACGGCGTTCGACAGGTCCGATGTCTTGTGCCAGGTATTCACCCATACTTCGCTCGAGTAGGGAAACCAAAACCACTCGGCATAGTCGGTGGTGAGAGCACGGGTTTCGAAGTCTTGCTGGATTTGGGCTTTGCGTTCTGCACTGAGCGGCTTCGGCGGCCGCAGAGGAACGGGAATGGTGGAATCAGGCATGTCCGGTGGTGGCGGGATGGCCTCGACCACCGGGACTTTCCGCGGCTCCAACAGCGCGCAGGACATGGGATCGCATTCTAAAACAAGATGTGTCACCACTCCGATCAACCCGAAGCAACCGGCAGCGGCGTGGAGAAGATCAGGTGTAGACATGTCCACCTTCCGTAGCCTTCCGTTGGCGTCGACATATTCCATGCACCGGACCAGATCGGAGAGTGTAGGATTGTTGATACCAGCACCGTGACTTGAAGGGGAAGTCAGCTCTTTCTAGGAAGGGGTTGCGTGGAAGAACAAACCATATCGTCGCATTGGCGCCACCCATGGTAATCTCGACTTCGATGATGTTCATGGGTACCGTGACTTTGCCGGTGTCGATACACCAACGCCGAAACTGCTCGTTGGTGGTGGACGTCCCTACACGGACGTACTTTTTGCCGCCAGTGAGTCTGGGGCCTTTGACGTAGTCCTGGTTGACAATGACTATGGAATTCAGATCCTTTGCGCGGGGCTCAAGGATATCCCCGGGTAGCGAGGTAAAGTTTGGGAGTACGCTGGCATCGACCAGCCCGAGAGACGAGATCAGAATATCACCGTTGTCTTTCCCCCCGGGATGGTGCGCGCGTCCAAAGACTGGAGACCACGAATGACCTGACACGTGGATGAGTACTCCGTACTTCGCCCTCATGATGTTACTTACGGAAACCAGCCACTCGCACCCCCATCCGGTGCCTTTTCGCGTACTTGACAATGTCGGCAACATCTTGGGCTGTGCTGGGCACACAGGTGTAGGCCGGAGTATTGGTGACAGTGCGACCCCAATTTTGGAACTCGAGATTCTTGAAAGACTGAGGTCGACTTAGTATCTGAGGAGATGTTCGTTGCTTAACGGCCAGCCGGAGTGAGACCCACCGGAACATAGAGAGCCCGTGCAGGGAATTTCAACGCAGGCACGATTTTTGCGATGAGGGAGCGTATTCGTGAAGGGATGCTCGTAGGCAATGCCTTGAGCAATGCACTGTGCTCCTCTAGCGCGTTGCGTTCGCCCGGGATTATGCTGGAGAGTTCCTTGTCCTTACGAAAAGTGCCGAGCTTTTTGGGCAGGCCCTCGACCGTGTAGGGGTGATACCGTTTGGCCGCCTCTTGGGCGTTGATTTTGCCGTCGACAAAATCGTTGAAGACACCCTGGATCTGGTCGTCATAGTCTCCGATGATCTGTTTATAGGTGGAATCTTGATCCGATGCCTTGAAGACGTGAAGAAATCGACGGACAAATTGCTCTTGGTCGACCTCGGTGTCGGGATCAAACCAGTCGTCGATGAGCTCGGTGAAACCTGGGAGTTGCTTGTCGTCAATCTTCTCTTTCAATCCTAGGATGCAATCAGTGACGGATGAGATCGAATCATGCTCGTCATGCCCATGGTGGAGGTCTGCCATCACAACCGACTCGAGTGTCACTACACCCCCGACAGCGAGATGGATAGGAAGATAGAGAACATGGAATGCAGGCACCCATCTTGAAGCCACCGCTTGCTGCGCGTTTCAAGACCGAAGCGAGCCATGACGGACGGACGGACGGACGGGGCAGAATGAGCGGTGACGGCGATGCTGATCCAGCTACGCCTTGATCGTGGCCTCGCGATGCGCTGGCTGGGAGACAAGGTCCTTGCAGTAGCCAGCGGAAGCTCGCAGTCGCCGCAGCATTCGTGACTGGGCATCAGACAGAAGCTGGAGCTCGGAGCTGGAGCTGGACAGACCACAGACACCAGTCACCGCGAGCCAGATATGGGCCCTAAGGCCAGTGCCGCGGGTGCTGCGTTGTCATTTCGCTTGGGGGACGATGATTGCTTATTTGAAACCGGCAAACGCCAGTGCATGTTTGAGAGCGCGTCATCTCTTATCGTATCGTCTCATCCGGCTCTTCAGACTTCTACTCCGTACTGCCTACTAGGAGACGGAGACGGAGTCGGGGTCGGGCAGCAGGCTAAGGAACTTGGGTATCAAGGTCGGTGGGAGAACCGCTCGTGTGGGTTCGATGGAGGCGGGTGTTGCGAGAGAATTGGCGGGGGACAGCCGGCTTCACGTAGACGTGCGTTGGCTTCGCCGCCATGTGCGTTGAGGCCAATGAGGCCAATGAGGCCCATGTCGCCCGGAAGATGGCCCAAGGGTCTACAGCAAGACTTAGGGCTTTGGAAGTCCTTAGGCCCCAGTCCCAGGCAGCGCCGAGTCCTGGACCGCACTAAGACGGGCGACGAGATAGGCAGATCGCCTAGAGAGTAGTCTGGGGACAGTAGATACTAGACACAAGAGAGCAGGAAAAGACGCACCCATGCCCGTGCCCATGTCCGGCCAGTCGACCGAGCTGGGCGAGGGATCTTAGGACTTCATCGCGTCACAAACAGCGAATCATCAGAATCAAATTATTCAACAGCACGAGCGTTCTTAGGACAGACTCCTAAGGCCGCGCAACTAAGGCAAGGCGCAGGTTCCTGTCGCCTCCTGAGTTGCGCGCACCTCCGCCTTCTGACACACCACATACAGTGCAGGTAGGATAGAGTACTGTAGACTCTAGAGTCAACATCACCAGCTCAGAGCCAGACCCAGAAGTCAGAAGCCCGCCCTTCCTTGCCCCATGTTGGACCCGCTACAGCAATATAAGTCCTCTAAATCAGTTCTGCTACAGTATGCAGTACAGTAAGCACCAAGCCACCGTCCACCATCCGCCTGCACGACTCCCCCAGAGTCTAGAGTCTACAGCGTCTTCTCCAGCTCCACCACTTCCTTCAACACCGCCTCGTGTCTGGCCACATCTTCCCTGCTAGGTTTGGGCAGAGGCCGTCTCGCGTAGCCTCCGTAGCCAAAATATGACTGGAGCGCACTCTTCGTTCCGGGGATGCCACCAGAGATGACTCCCCAATCGCCTCGGGCCACAATCGCCTGGAGCTTCTGAGCGTCCTCGACCTTGCCCTCGGCATACAGGTTGAACACCTTGACACATGCCTTGGGGACGACGTTACCCAGCCCGGTGATGATCCCGGAGCCTCCCGCGATCAACGTCTGCAGGGTGAAATCGGCGGAGCCTCCCAGACACAGCCAACCGGATCCGGTGGACGTGGGTGTCGCGGCGTTGACCGCGTTCGCAATGCGGTTGAGCTTGCCCGTGTTGCCGCACGTCAGCTTGCACCCAACAATCTTGGGGTGTTTGGCCAATTTGATGATGGTGTCAGAGTCGAGATCCACGCCGCCAGCGGCCCCGGGGTAGTTGTAGATGAGAATAGGAATGGGTGACTCGGTCGCGACGTCTTGGAAGTATTCGACAAAGGATGCCTGCGTGAACGATGACTTGTAATACGAGGGTGGAAGAACCAGGGCATAGTCGCCGCCGGCAGAATAGGCATCCTTGCAGAACTCTACCGTCTCCCGGACCGATTGAGCACCACAGCCGACAACAATGGGGAAGTCTGGGAAGCCAGCATCGTCTAGGGCTTTGCGCGTGGTCTGAACCACCTGGATTCGCTCTTGTTTGGTCAGGTGAACTGCCTCGCCGTTGGACCCTTGACAGGTAATGGACGTCAGGCCTGCCTCGGCGAGTCTGACCACGTGTTTCGCAATCGCCTCGAGATCCAAATCTTCAGTCTCGGGCTTGAAGATCGTGACGATCGGGACATTGACGCCAGGCTTCAGCGCCCGGGTCGCGTGATGTCCGTTCATCGTGCAAGAGTACCTGGATCGACTTCTGCTAGACGGGGGTTGAATGGGAGCTGGCTATGATGGTGGTTGAGGCGCTGGATGGTAGTCTGCGAGGTATCGTCTTCTCGGTGATGTCCGCCTTCTCAGTCACGTCAACGGTTGGAGATCACTGAAGAGTCAGAAAACAGGGTCAGTAGAGGTCACTTGGATATATAAGGCGACAGTCTTCGCCCGGCAATCCGCCGACCATAGTCAGCCTGTGTCACTCGTGATCCAATGGCAACGCTGACACGGCCAAACCCCTCAAGGTGTGGAGGAAGGTGTGGAGGCGTGGGGTGTCGGTTTTCCGGCGGCGAACCCGAGGCATGATATCCGTCTGCTCCGTATCAATATTGTACTGCGATTCATGTGCGCCCGTGACTTTGCGAGAGTCGATATTTGAACGCTGGGCAAAGAAACTTGACCACTCGTTGTGGCTCGATTCCCGTGATATTCTGGATGGTCAACAGAGCTCCAGTAACTCGTCATCCTCATCGACGTCGACATCGGCGAGGAGACCGCAGGAGACTCACGACTCACCAACAGAGCTGCGGAATCTGCCTCCAGACCAGACCACACCCATTGTGATGTCTGCGCCTCGAAACTGGAACATACTGGCTCTGTCGGGGTTGATGCAGGCTTGTGACTCTGTCGAGAGGCCAGGGCGGAATATGGTGAGGGTCCAACCGTGTCTTTGTAGTTACGCCGAAAAGTCCAGAATCCTCCAGCTTCCCTCGCATCCCAAGGAGCCCATCATGCAGAGACAGCCTGTCGCACCGCACAGTCATACTCTAATTTGAAAGCTGGAGAGTCATCCAAGATCGGTCGTGTTTGATCACGGGGCGGCGGATGAGGTGTGGGGGTTGGGGAGCCACCCCCACTCCAGATAAATGCCCCCAACCTTGTTTTCTCCCCAGCTCGGGCATTCTCCCGACTTTGATTTCGCATCAGCGCCAGGTCTTGCTGCTCCAGGACACAATTTGAAGTATGCATGACGGCATGTGTCCAGCGTGCCACCGGTTGATCGGGTCAATGGGTGCCGTAGCGGCCATCTGCTTTCCGTCGTAGCAATTCAGCTATTGGGAGGTTGTCTTCGTCATAAAACTCGACAGACTCATCCACCCCATAATCTTTCAGTCGATTTCCCCCGGAATCTTGCCAGCCTTCCTCGCCGCTACTGTCGTGGTGGTTGGTGTAATCGTTCTTGATGGGCACGTGGCTTCCGTCTGCAAAGCGTTCGTGGAACGGCTTTCTACGCTCAACGCCGTAATGCTCGGGACGCCGTGCAAAATCGCCATGTTGCCGCTGTCTGAAGGCTGCGACTTCTTCCTCCCGGGAAAGACCAGCTTGCGCGTGGACAAACGCACTTTTCAACTCTGCGGAACGGTCAATTCGTGGCATCCGATCGGGATCTGGAGGCGGCCAGCTGGTACCAGGATCCTCAAACCCGTTCGTCTCGAATGCCACGCCACTTGTTGCCGGGGTTGCACTAAAGGGCCAAAACCAGGCAAAAATATTGGCCGTACCCATGCCTTGCACAATATTGTTCCAGATCCCAATGTCGTAAGGGAATTCCTGCCTCACCAACCTAACCCTGATACCGTCTGGACCATCCAAATATCCACCAAGAACACGAGCCCGACGAAGTAATTGCTCGTGGCGTTCAATCTCCCAGCTCTCAATGGTGGTGACATTGCCTCCTAAGCCCCAAACAGTTCGCAGAAACGTGATTGAAACCAAAAACAGTGTGAGTGAGTTGACAACGATGAGGACGAACAGGTGGACAAGCTGTGGCAGGGTTGGTCCTAGATACTAGCATGCTAGGTCAACAATAGTTCGGTATAGTGGCAGTGGCAGTAGCCTTACGCTGGGTAGCCTCCGGTTCTGCCAGATGACGTCTGCTCGGAGGTACAAGAAGTACTGAAGATAGCTCATTGCAGACACGGCGTAGAAGAGAAAGCGGACGAAGTGAGGGAAAGTAAAGTGCGACACACAATTGACCGTCCATGGACAGTGATGGTCCATTTTTGGGATGCATCTCCGCACGTCAGCCAGGCCTTGTCAGACGAGCTTCACCTGATGGCGTACCTTTTGCAGACCCTGCAATGATGGGCCCGAGGAGGTTTGAATGCAGTGCACTTGCGACAGTACCTTTGTCTAGCCAGATTCTTCCCTGCAGGTGATGTTGGGTCGGTGCCCACAGCCTTGTCCTCATCAGGCTTCCAATCCGCCGGAACGCGCCCCGGGTCGGTGGTACAAGCACGCAGGTAGCTCACCCATATGCAGGCCACCAGCGCATTGAAGACGAGTGCCTCCTTTTGGTGCAATGGGCCTGGTTCGATCTTGCCGAAAAGATGCTGGGGAGAATACGACAGAAAGGCTACCAGAGAAACCACCGCGGGCGCCGCAAACTTGGAAAGGGTAGCTGGATCCATGCCCCAACGGACAACGGACGGGGAGAATCAAGCAGCTGCGTCGGCGGCCGAAGCGGAGCAGATCATGACCTTTGCAACATGAGGTTTGACTAAAATGCCCTGGTGACGGCTCAAGGCTTCGAATGCGTCATGGCTCGCTCGGTAGAAAAGGGGCAGTGTGTCTTCAAGTTCAGGTTACACCGCCAGGCTGCAGATGGCTGTTGCTGTTGCTATTGCTATTGCTGCTGAGGCTGGTGCACGCCAGTCCTGTTTCGGCCACTGTGACGCTGCCCTGTGGCCAAGATACTAGTACTAAACTAGACAATTCTCTCGCTGCTTTTTGTCTTGCTATAGTAGGCCATCGTTTCTCAGATACATGGGGATATACGGGTACAACTTCGTTGCAATGGCCTCTCTCTGGCTCTTGTTTCTGACTTGTTCGCGCTTCCAAAAAGAGTGTCACGACCACGACGGAAGCTTCTCACAAGCGCCAGCATGCGTATCCAGTACTCGTCAAGGGCCCTTCAGGGGCCGCTTCTCGTTAGGTGTTCCGCCCGCAGATAGGATCTCATTTTCCGCAACCTCACAATATCCAATATCCTGCACTACGCGCCCCTCCGGAGCCCCATTCAAACTCCAAGCTAATCAATCTAGACTGAACTGCCACTGTCTAGCTAATCTCTGGCGCACTGAATGGGCATGTCATCCGTTCTGGTGATGCCGCCGTGGCAAGTATAGAATCACGAACAAATGATCTCCGAATCCTGCCCACCACGTTGATTCGGGAATCAGTCATTCATATCCTTATATGCCGTAGGTATTCGCCGAAACTCCTCGTCCCGTTTCGTCTGAAAAGCCGCGGCCGATATCCTCTCAAGACCTACAAGAGAGAGAAGCTAAGCTGTGAGGTGGTGATATCCGAAACCCCAGCCATGGTCAGAGAACTCCAGCGTGACCTTGATCGTGCAGAAGGGCCAATTTATGCTGAACGACACGTACGGATAATATGTGTTGGTGCTGGAGCTTCAGGACTGTGTCTCGCATACAAGCTGCAACGATCTTTCCAGAACTTCTCGCTGGTCATATACGAAAAGAATAAGGAGATCTCGGGGACGTGGTATGAAAATCGATATCCGGGGTACGTGTGGCAGTCTTCTCCCTGATTTCGTATGTATCAGTTACCGAGAACGCTAACTCTCTGTCAGATGCGCTTGCGACGTGCCCTCGCATAATTATACCTGGTCTTTCGAGCCCAAACATAACTGGTCTGCGGTCTACGCACAAAGCAGTGAAATCTACCAATATTTCAACGATTTCGCCGATAAATATTCGCTCAGGAAGTATGTCCATTGCAACCAGGCCGTCATTGGAGCTCGATGGGATGAAAGTAATGGCGGGTATCATGTTCAGGTGAAGAATGGGAACACTGGCGAGCTCGAAGAAGCCTTTTGTGACATTCTGATCAACGCCGGCGGTATCCTGAACGCATGGCGGTGGCCTGACATACCTGGTTTGAAGGAGTTCAAAGGTCCCTTACTCCACAGTGCCGACTGGGACGATACAGTTGATCTGAAAGGCAAACATGTTGGTTTGATAGGTAATGGGTATGGGCCGACCTGCCATCCTTCCATCCTTCCAATCTCATGGTGCTCCACTAATGCTGGCCCATGCATAGATCTTCAGGCATCCAGATATTACCGGCGATTCTACCATCGGTCAGCCACATCACCACCTTCGTTCGGTCTCCTGCCTGGATTTCGCCCGTCCGCGGCCTAGATCAACATGTGTTCAGTGCCGAGGAGGTCGCCAGCTTTGCCAATGAGCCAGAAAAGCTCCTGGAATATCGCAAGGCCAATGAAGACGGCATCAACTCTCTATGGCCACTTTATGTGCGGGGCACCGACATGCAAAAAGCAGCCCGGAAAGCAATGTTGAAACAGATGCAGCTCAAGCTTCAGGGCTCCGGTCTTGAAGACAAACTCATCCCATCATGGAGTGTTGGATGCCGGAGGCTAACCCCTGGAATCAACTACTTGGAGAGTCTCAGCCACGAAAAGGTGACTGTGGTCAACGGCGACATCACATGCATCACCGACAAGGGACCACGAGATAGTGACGGGAACGACCATACCATTGACGTTCTTGTTTGCGCCACTGGATTCGACACTTCCTTCCGACCGCGCTTCCCCATCATAGGCTCCAGCGGAACCAACCTTCAGGACGAATGGGCACAGGAAGCCAAGGGCTATATGGGCATCGCTGCTCCCAACTTTCCCAATTATTTCCTTTTCCTGGGACCAAACTGTCCCATCGGGAATGGCCCAGTGCTGGCCGCCATCGGTAAGCATTTTCTCACCACTCCATAATATAACCCAAGAACGGCCGCTGATGAAACTACCATGTGCAGAGTTTCAAGCGGATTATATGCTTCAATTCATCAATCGCTGGCAAACGGAAAACATCCATTCATTCGTGCCCAAAGTAGATGCCACCGAAGACTTCATCAAGTACACCGACTCTGTCATGCAGAAGACTGTGTGGTCGGAAGAATGCCGGTCGTGGTACAAGAGCAATTCTTCCACCGGACGCGTCAGCGCCCTCTGGCCCGGCAGCAGTCTGCACTACATGGAAGCCATCCGAGAAGCGCGGTTTGATGATTACGAAATCAAATACTCGGGGAATCGTTTTGCATGGATGGGCAATGGATCCAGCCAAACGGAACTAGATGCCACCTGTGATTGGAGTTACTACATCCGGCTCAAGGACGATTCGCCATACGCCAGCCGCCGGATGCAAAGGCAAGTCTTGACCAAGAGCGGTTCGACAGACGGACGGTCCAAGACATCGTTCTGGAAATTTGAATGACCAGCCTAATGTCAATGAAGGTTGAATTGTTCCATGTTCTCTCTCAAAGGGTCACAGGGGGAATGCATGCTATATAGTATAGTATAACCAGCCTCTCTGGTTAAACCGCAAGGCTGGGATTTTGTTTCTTCGGTAGTGTCGTGGTCGTGGTCGTGGTTGTGGTCGTCAAGGTTAAAAATATCAAAAACAAGACCCTAGGCGGGTATCAAGCGTATCAAGAAGGATCGTGATCTCTATCCCATTCGCTAATTGTACCCCAGGCGTCGTGATGCGCCGTTGCGGATTTCCGGACCGTAGGGTAGGTTTGAAAAGATCGATATGATCACCACCAGCTTCACCGACGTGTTGAGCGTGGAAAGAACAACAAACGATAGTTAAAAGTTCTCGAGTGATTGACTTCTTACGTACTCCGTATATCAAGGATTCCAGGGAACTTCTATCTCGGTCCAGTAGCAGCAGCATCAGCGTCCCTCTCATACATAAGCACCTTCTCCCCCTCGCTCAACAACACGCTCGTGATCTGACCGGCATAGACGTGGTTATCCGGATTAACCGTCTCGAGAAACTCCTTGCTCGTCAGCACCTTTTGCAGATCTTCCAACGAGTCGGCGGACAGGACGCTGACGCCGTCGCACCGGTCCACGCTGACGGAGCCTGCGTCGGCCATTTGCTTGACGATTTCGGACCGTTCGGCGCCGTTCATGTGGTACTGTGGAAGGAAAAAGGGGAATTAGAAGACACTCACAAGAAGGAGACATTAATTTCTTTCTAGAAGAAATAGAAAGCTCTTCAGCAGGATACGCAACACGAAACAAACATACCTGTTCGTATTTGGAAATGTATTTCCTAGCCAGGGGCACCTTGTCGAGGAACATGGGTCCATGCACTTCGTTCCAATACTTGTAGAATTCGAGGTCTGTCGTGCCCTCTTTCTTATTGATCATGATGATCATTTGGACGCCAGCCATGGTGGACGGTGGACGGTGGACGGTGGACGGTGGACGGTGGACGGTGGATGGTGGACGGTGGACGGTGGATGGTGGACGGTGGACGGTGGACGGTGGACGGTGAGCGGTGGTCAGGGTAGATTGTAGATTGTAGATTGTAGATTTGGATCTTGCTTGGTTTGGTTGTAGATTTAGAACTGGAACTTGCTTGGTTCAGTTGTAGGTTCGTCTATAGATTCTGGAATTGAGTAGACGACGGAGATAGAGACGGGTAGATCCTTCTGTAGATTCGTGGATTCGGTCTTGTTGATGTTGACCGAGATGGTAGAAAGACGGATAGATAGATTCGTCTATGTCTATGGTCTTGATGTTGTTCTTATCGGTGCGCTTGAACTTCAACTTGCAGCTGACGCCAAAGGACAAAGGACCGAGGACCGTACCACTGCTAGAAAAGGAGAAGGGAGCTCGTGGATGGTAAAGCTTAGAAGCAGCAATACATGCCACATCTATATCTAGATCGGCTGTATCTACACCTTTCTCCACATCGATCTCGTTCGTATCGAAATAAGTATATATGAGATCGCTCCACCATGGTCCATTTACCCTGTCCATTGACTACAAGACTGTCTCTCTCGGTGCGGAGTGCTTGTGCGTGTGCTTGCTCAGCCCCAAGACGCGAATGATTGGGCCATGTTGTATTCCGTCTGGTGTGACTAGAGTGCCGGGAAGGAACCGGACACCAGACCCACACCCGGACCCGGGCCGCAGACCCTACCAAGGTTGAAGGTTGAAGAAAGGTTGAAAGCTTCAGGAAGAGAGAGCGGAAAACGGGATCCGTCGATCGACGAGACGAGACCACACCACGCCACACCACACCACACCACATGACACGACATGAGACCAACTGACCTACCATCTACCTACGCTCTGATCGATGGATCGGTCGCTCGACGGATCTCGCTGAAGACGGAAATGGGAATGAGTTGCCCTTGACCCAGGCAGACCATGCAGAGAAAGCCCAACAGTACGGAGTACATACAACATACATCCAATCCACTATCTGTGACTACGGACACGGACACTCGTACTACTAGCGACTACTACACTGTCACTGTTATTATCAGTACTACTGTTATAGTCATAGTCACTACCACTATCACCGTCACTACCACTGCACTGCTGTCATGTCAGATCTGTCGAATGAACGTTGAAATGTTCCCTGTTCTCTATCAACGGGTCGCAGAGGGAGCGCAGGCTATATAGTATATAGTGTCGCCTAAACCAGCCTCTCTGGTCAAAGCACAAGGCTGGAGAATGCCTAAGTTTGACAAGATCAAGCTCAGGCTCTCAGCACACTCTCAACGACCCGAGCGGCGGCCACGGTCTCCTCATCCCTGAAATGCTTGCCCACCACCTGCAGGCAGATAGGCATACCAGCAAAGATCTCAGGACAATCTTCAACCAAAGACTCCGGTCAGCGAGGCGGCACGGCACATGTCATCCAAGTCCGGAAGGACAGGACAAAACTTGGGGGGTCACAGGAGGGGGTTGAGATCAACACAAGGGGTCACAGGGTTGGGATCAACTCACATTTCGCATGTTCTCTGCGATCATTCTCGTTCAGCGGCACATAGTCAACATCCGCAGGATCCAGCGCTGGGTCGACTTCCAGACCGGTGGGAAAGACGAGGGCAGGCTGATCCAGTAGATTCCAGAGACCGGTGTAGAACCAGTATTCATTGTTTCCCTGTCGGGTGGCCACTCCGTTGGTGGCAGGGCAGAGGATGCAGTCGACACCGCGCTGCTTCATCAGCTGGTGGTATTGCGACCGGAGCTGTTCCCGATCCACGTTGCACTGCCAGTACTCTTCAAAGCTCAGTGTCCTGGCGCCTGTCATGACGAATTCCGTCAGTCGGTGCACCGGCTCGGCGGATTCGGCCAGGACCTTGCGGTGGCTTTGGGCACCGTCGGCGAAGAATAATGTTCCCTGAGAATTGGGTCGGGTTAGATGAATTCGACTTGGTTGGTATGGGAGATCTGGTCTGGTTGCTGGGGGAGATTCCACTTCTGGTTGCTCTGGGAAATTCCAGTTCTAGTAGTGATGGATGGGGGAGCTTTCCCTTCTGGCTGCTCTGGGACATTCCAGTTCTAGTAGTGATGGATGGGGGAGATTCCCTTCTCTTCTCACTACTAGCTGAGAGAGATGTTTCTTGCTTCTTATGCTCATGTACTTACTAACAGGCGAGAAGCTTCTTCATGTCGATACGGCTCCCACGGTACCGTCCGGATGCCAGCTTCTTCGAGTTTGGCTTGGGCATATTTCATGGCTCGCCGGATCGGTGGATGGGCGGTGACGAGACTGCTTCGCTTAGTACAGTCCGGAAAATAGAAGTATTACCATCATAGGAGAGTCGCAGTATCACTATCACATTGCTCAAGATCTAGCTGGTCGGTGGTGGTGGTGGTGGTGGACCAAACCTGAACTTGACTTACCCGTTGCTGTGCATGATTCCAACAGTCATCTCCCTCGTAGCTTGGACGGGGACGGACCGCCACGGAAGTGGCACGAGACTGGTTTCGATCTCCCATGGGCTTTGGTCGAGGACGCTTCTCATCACAAGCTCGAGATCGTCCATACTGTTCGCCAGGGGACCGGCCACCGACCGGAGAGCCTCTTGGCCGCCCGCGACGGTGTGGATTCCTTGATATGGCATTCGCAGAGCTGTCGGGCGGAAGCCATACACCCCGTTGAACGACGACGGGATGCGGATCGAGCCTCCAATGTCGGTGCCGATTCCGATGGCCGAGCCCCTGAGCCGGATACAGGCACCTTCGCCGCCCGACGATCCTCCGGCGCTCAAGGACGTGTTACACGGGTTCAGGGTCATGCCGGTGATGTTGTTGTTGGTATCGCCATGCTGATTGGGGTTACATTGGTATCTTCAGCATTGACACGTTCTAAGAAGAGATCTCGTAGAGAGTCGGGAATAGACTTACCATCAGTGATTGAGGTTCGTTTGATCGTAACAGGATGACCGCCCCGGCTTTCTGGAGCAGGTGCACTACTAGGGCGTCTGCCGATGCGACATTCTTGATCCAGGCGACGTAGCCGGTATGGCAGATCCGGTTCTTGATGCCGATATGCTCCTAAAAGACTCGTCCAAGGTCAGAGTCGCCAGCCAACTGGAATAGAGTGAGAAAAAAGAAGAAAGGAAGACAAGAAAAAAAGAGGAAAGAAACGAAGATTGGCGTTCGATACTGGGCTCCAACTGACTCACCTTGACTGATATCGGGACGCCGTGAAGCGGACCGACGGTCTTTCCAGTCTTCTTGAAATACACGTCCAACTCTCTGGCAGTAGCTAGCGCTCGATCGGCCAGGAACTCAGTGGCAAAGTTGACCTGACAGGAACAAGGAACACCGAATAAGTAAGGATCAATAAAATTAAACAGTTCAAGCTAGAAAGCGTCCACTTTGGAATGGGAAAGTGGCCAAGTATGGAATGGAAATGAGGAGCCGCCCACCTCACCTCACCTCACCATTTGATGTCCTATGGTCGCTCTTTTCAAATACGCCACCGTCACCTCTTCGGCAGACCAGCAGCCGGAGGCGATGGCTTCAGCGAGACGCGTTCCATCGCAAGCTGTGATGTCAAGCTCCCGCGCTGAGAGCAACCCAGACTCAGAGGGCACATGCAGAACATTGAGTCGTGGGCCCGATGGCAGCTGGTTGAGCGGGACGCGAAACTCTGCGACGATAGACTTGTCGAGGATCGAGCGACAGATTGCGGCCTGACTTTCCCAACCAGGCTCAGGGTCAGGGGATAAGGCTCGCATGATGGGATGAGATGGAATAGGAGCCGTAATATATCAATATATTACAACAATGTTGTGTTGTCGTCGGATTCGGATTCAGGTATCTACCATTACCAGAATTAGCTAATGCCCGCCCCGTGATTCCATGACAGTCAATATCAATATATATGATAAAGCGGACTAGAGCAGCCTGGATCGTCTCTCGACCCCCTCTCCCTAAGCCCAGCCCATCATGTGATCCTGAGACCCTTAGGAATAAGTGCTCACGTCTGGGGAAGACGGTGGCCGGAACTCGTCATCCTCGCCGGTCCGTGTGCGTGTGCATGTGCGCTGGACCCACGAGACGCCAGCCTGAGCGGCCAAACGCCACGCGATCTGGCCGAAATTACAGTATCGGGGATCTCTACTGCCTGCCTACCTAGCTCATCCATCCTTGTTCAGCAACGAATCTGCCAGTAGTCGAGTTGAAGAGAAGATCCTCGTTTTCCAGTACGACACAGTTCTTGGGCCAAAGATGCTGACCCTTGGATGCTGACCAGTCTTGTCTATATGCAGCCTCGATAGGACAGGATCAGGTTCACAAATGAGCACGGAATCTCGAGACACAGATACCAGCCATGGAGCACCAGTGCCAACACCACCAACAGAAGGTTATCAGGGGGAACGGCAGACTTTGAATAAACAGATGCGTGATGCCCTCGATGGCATGACCGTCGAACAGATCCAGTAAGTACAAGCCCTACAAGTCCTCTGTAGGACGCTTCTGCAGTACATTCTGCAGTGGGCTGACTCCCGATGAGTTGTGCTGTGATTGCCAGAAGCTCGGCTGAGACTGAATGACTTGCATACATACATAGATCGACCTACCCATCGACTGCCAACGCATACTTGAGATTTGCCCAAGTGAAAGGGTTCGATCCTCACACCACCCAGCTGATCGATGGCACAAAGGTCCATTGGATCGGCTCGGAAGCGGCTGAGAAGGTGATTGTCCATTTCCATGGTAAGGCATGTTTTTGATATCAATCTGGCAACAAGCATATATATCCTGCCTCTGTCTATGTCTATATCTACTCCTATCTTTCTCTTTCTCCCCTCGTCATCTTTCTCTGGCAGCCGCAGACAGACCACTGAACTTATATTTCACACAACCACCAGGCGGCGGATACGTCTTTCCAGCCACCATCTCCCTGTTCCATTTCATGTGGGACATGAGAGAGCGAGCGACGAGAGCGACCGGTTCCGAGGTCTCTGTGGTTGTGGCATCGTACGACCTGGCCCCAGCTGGCCAGTATCCCCGACAATTGCAACAAGGCATCGCCGTGGTAGAGTACATGACGACAGACCTACAAAAACAGCCGGCCAACATGATCATCTCGGGCAATTCGGCGGGCGGCAATCTCGCCATGGGGGTGATCTCACACCTTCTCCACCCACATCCGTCGTGTGTTCCTCTGACAACGACCGAGGCGTTTGCAGCGCTGCTGCTCATGTCGCCGTGGATCTCCATGTGCTATGCGGCGGCATCGTACGGGCGGTCGGCGAACGGGGAACGTGATGTCCTTCACGTCTCGAGCTTGGAGAGATGGGCCAACCTGTGGAAAGGGACAGGGACAGGGCCGGCGGATCACGACGCTTACACGAACCCGTACCGAGCTCCGCCAGGTTGGTGGGCCGGCTTGGGCACAGTGGCCCGAAGGATCCTGATAACTGCTGGGGCGCAGGAGCTGATGGTCGACGATATCTGTGCGTTTGGCCATTGTTTGCTGAAACATCACTCCGACGCCGGAGCCCACGCTGCCGTCCAGATTGCAGTGGCGGCTGATGAATCGCATGACCAGGCCATTATCGATCTGGACTTTGGCTTTCCCAGGCGCGGCGAAAGCGCTCGGTGCATGATGGATTGGGTTCAGGAAGTCTTCAGCGAGGGGGGGAAAGGAACGGCAACAGGAACGGGAACGGGAACAGATGGCGCGCTGAAGACTTCCTAAACTAGATGTACTGTAGATTGAATGAAATCCGTACTGTATGTACATTACAGTAAGCGATTTAATTGCCAAGGTCAGGTAGGTGGTACCTTACTACCAGGTATATTGCTATCCGTTCGTACATACTATTACAGTAAGTATTTTCACTGCATAGCTAGGTACCTAGTCCGTCAGTAGTCTGTACGCTGTACGGAGTCCTGTGTCCTGTGTCCTGTGTCCTGTGTCCTGTGTCCTGTGTTCGCACAGTCCACCTGGTCTCCACTGAGAGATAAGGCACGGAACAGGCGAGTGGAGCAAAGCAGTACAGAGCAGAATAGGGCCGGAAAACATGTTCCTGGTCTGTTGGGTCACTGCCACTATCTTCCGCCCCCGTCCTCCTGTCCGTTGCCATTAGGGGTGTGGTGGGTGTACACTGTAAAGTATCTCATTCTGGAGAACAGCGCCAATGATGAATGACGCCAGGCAGCTCCAGTCCTGAAATCCCGACTCCAAATCCAACCCGCCGAGAGTTGTGATAGGAACAGAGTCCGCAATCCAACCCGGTGTGGAGGCGCGAAGCCGACGAACTCATCTATCTCATCTTACGAACCCCAATATTGATCAGGTCGACGCGTACAGTGTACAGTACATAAGATACCAGGCACATCTGTATGTACAGAGGCTTTAGGTACCAGACGTAGATACACCGCACCTGGGTAGGGTCTGAAGACGGATCCCAGACGGACTACAACACCAGTGTCACTCACTCAGTCACTCAGTCACTCACCAACGAACCAACGAACGAACGAACGAAAGAAGCTCGAATCTGAGCTACATATTAGACGACATCTTACCACCCTACCACCGCAACACCACATATCACCACATATCATCACACACCCTAACACAACACTCTCTATCGACTGACCGACCGGCCATGGATCGCGCCACCTACGAACAATACACGCAGCTCGTCTGTGCGCGGCGCATGGAAGAAGCCGCGGAGCGGTTCTACGCCGACGACATCGAAGTGATTGAAAACAACGTGACGTACCACGACAAGAAGGGCATCATCGCCCTGCGCCGCTTCACCCACGACTGCATGACCGAGGGCATCGAGGTGCTCGACTTCTTCCACAGCGAGCAGAACAACACCATCGCCGCCGAGGTCATCTACACCTGGGAGGCGCTGAAGGACCTCAACAAGGACGAGTTCGTCGCCGCCGGCTATCCCGAGGCCTGGCAGCCGCTCAAGAAGGGCGATGTCGGTCGGTTTCACTGTGTCTTTCGCTATATTCTAGACGAGGCCTCCAAGTTTAAGAAGATCCGCGTCTTCATCACCACGCCTTGATTGGAGATTGAGATTGAATAGAAAAGAATAGAATACCAAATTTCCCATTCCCCAGATTCCCATCTTCATCCAATCCAACCAAGGTTCCGAGTTTCAGATGGATCTAGATCCGGCTCCGGAATCATATTAATTAATTCGTACAAGCCGAGCATGGCGATTACATCTTCCAATAAACAAGCACTACTGACAAGAACCCCGACTGATCGGAGATCATACTGTAGATGAATTGCCATTGTGCGTGAGAACGCCTTGGTGAAACTATAGTAGGCTCTGGTCCCTGGTCCCTAGTATCCGTACATCTATTTGCTCTCCACGTACGCCTCGCAGTCAATCTCGATCTCCATGCCCGGAATGGCTAAAGAGGCCACGCCCACGCAGGTCCAAATAGGCGCGTGGTCTGGCATGGCTTTCTTGAACTGTTCCACTATCACTGGGAAGCTCTCGTCCAAATTGGTATGCCAGCTGCGGACCGCATACACGTCCGACCAGCCCTTGCCCCCGGCCTCCTTGATGCACTTTTCCAAATTGTCAAACGCATACTGCACCTGCTGCTTGATGTCTCCCTTGGCAAGAGTGCCCTGGTCGTCCCATCCACCTTGACCGGAGCATTTGATGACAGATCCAATCCGCACCGCCTGAGAGTAGGAGAAGACCTTGCGGTTGTACTCGCCGGGGCCAGCGTAGTCGGTGAAGGTGACGTTGGGGGCCATTATGATGATATGGTAGGTGAGGAAGGGTGACGAGTGAGATTGTCTCGTGAGTGGCGGCTGAGTATGTTCCTGATGGCAACTACTAGCTGCTTGGGTTGTTCGTGAGAGGGCTTAGGCTTCCTGGAGAAGGTCAGTCGCCAGATTCTATTCCGGGTTCCTCTTTCCCACGGTTGGACTGTATACCTGGGCAGATGGGTGATCTTGTTCGAGGTCTTGTCTTGGACAGAGAGCACAATCAGTAGCAACAGAGGGACGAATGGATTGAATGTTACACCACATGTACCTGATCCACGGATTACCTGACTTTATATATCAACTTACCTAGCCTGTGTGCCTTCCCAGTGTATCACTGTCCTAGTCTAGGCAATGGGATTGACTGGGCTGCCTGTTTGCTGGTCCCACGGACTGGAGAGGGTGGGCTCTGGCCGGATCAACGGGGCGTGCGACCGGATTTCATTATCCTGCGGGTTTGTTGAGAGGTCTGAGCCTTAGGAGCCCCTCAGGCTGGCATTTGTCATGGCTATGGCTCAGGTCATTCCTCAGGAGCCTGCGGGCAGATAGCGTGCAAGGGACACGTGTGTGTGTGTTTGTCGATCAAGGTCAGGAGGTTCGGTGTATGTATGGAGTAGAGTCTGTAGTATCGCCTGGAGTGCTTGAGAGGGGCACCTATTGTTACTGCGGAGTGACGCGATGGTGGTGGTGATATGCTGCCAGTGGTGTACTGTCTTTAAAGGAGGTAGCTAGGTACCTACCTCTACCTACCTGGTGGCTACCTGGTACAGTATGTACGGAGTACGGTCCAGACTATTGGTGAGCCCTGGTACCATCTGTCACCCAGTGCCTGCGCCTGCGCCTGCGCCTGCTGAAGGCATCCTTGGGACCCTTATCATCAGCTTATCGTTCAGTGTTATCGCCCGTGTTATCGCCCGTGTTATCGCCCGCAGTGCTAACTACTGTAATTGAAATTAGCCACCCACCTAGAACTGCACCTCGGGCATCCCCTCTGTGCCTCTGTTATCTGGGGTCATGGCAATCTCCAGCACCAATATCGACATCGTCCCCCGACACCGTGGCTCCTGTGTTCAACGAAAGGCCATCTCGTAGCCAGAGCATCCTTTCGCTCTCATGGCTGGTGCGCCAGCAGCAACCACGGTGGCAGGGAAGCCACGCAAGAAAGCATCGTCAGCCTGCACTTCGTGTCGACTGCGCCGAACCAAGGTGAGTCGTCCGAGGGCTTGTCACCATCGGCGGTGCCATTCCAGTGCTGACACGGGCCCAGTGTGATACAGAGTCGGGACAGGTGGTATGCCGGTTTTGCCAACGCAACAACTTACAATGTGTTTTCCAAAACGACGATGAGAGAAAGGTAGGCCTGAGACACCGCTCTGCATGACCCATGAATGGCACGCTGAGCCCAAGTCCAGATCTCCAGTTCCAAAGCGCACATCTCGGCTCTGAACGAACGCGTCCACATGCTCGAAGACTTGCTGCGGCAACAACCGAGACGCTCACAGCCCAGTCCAGCAGCTGAGCCCCAAGACCAAGCCGACGACGCGGCGACTCCCACAAGTGGCAATGCTGGGGCCCGGGATCTCACTCTGTCGCCAAATGACGGTCCGGCTCACGGTGACCATGACCATGGTCATGAACATGTACCTGCACCATATCATCAATCGTCGGTCATGAATGGCTGTCCGCCCAACGGCAACGGCAACGGCAGCACGCTGGCCATATCGCCTCCTGAACGCTCGATGGATGGGCGGTCGACCCATTCATCCCACATCTCCCTGAGCTCACCCAACCACAGAAAGCCGGTGGTGGCGCAGCTGGTCGTCACGGTGGACAGTGTAGGGAGAAAGGGCAATGTCGGAGACCAAGGTGATGGATCGACCGCAGAAGTCGCCACCACCACAGTGTATGAGTCCAGAGGGCAAAGACGCCAGATCGACCGGTTATTAGAAGAGGTGCCCCCGGCCACCGATGACTATCTACTCGCTCTCTTTTTCGAACACGGTAACACGATGCTGCCCGTGGTACATGAAGAAGCATTCTATCGTGACAAAGCTGCCGGCCGAACCCGCTGGTACAATGGCTTCCTCCACATCTGTATCCTGGCCATGGGTCTTCGATATGCCGACCGATCCAGGCCAGATGTGATGCGACTCATCCTGCCCAATCGAGAGAGTACGCTGCATCGGGGCGCCACATATCTCGTCGAGTACGAACTACAATGTCGAGGCGGAATCCCATCCGTGCAAGCATTGCTCTTATTAGGCGATCTAGAGGCGGCCTGCGGGAGGGACAACACCGGATGGATGTACGGAGGTAAGTCATGATTGCTGCTACAGCCACCAGGTTGACTCTACATGGAGGGTTGATTTGTTGCTTGTAGGAATGGCCATCCGGCTGTGCTTCGACATTGGCTTGAATCTCCTTCCGACCATGGATCTCGCCTCATGGGAAGTCGAAAGTTGGCGGCGGGCGCTGTGGGCATGCTATCTTCATGATAAGTATTGGTCATTCTATTTGGCAAGGCCAACCAGCATGAAGCGGTCGGACATTGTGCCGATCCCCATGAAAGATGAGGTGCAAGATGCGAAGATGACGATCTTTTCGAACCTGATCGCGTTGATGGAGATGATCACCACCATTGCAGATAATGTCGAAGAAAGCACCAAGCCCTCAGACGACGTCGCATACCTATATGTATCGGGAATCTATCGAAAGCTGAAGAAGTGGTATGCCGAGCTCCCCGAAAACTTAAAAAGGACACCGGAAAACATCCAGGCAGCGCCGCTGTCATTCTTTCTTTTGCAGTAAGTTGAGAGTGGTGACCGACATGGACAAGGGCACTGTCACTGACACCTATGATTTCTAGTCAACAGTACTACGCCAGTCTGATTCTGTTGTACCGGCCGTTCACTCACTACGAAGCGAGTTCCTCGTCGGAGAACGACATAGTTATGGAACAGATCTCCTCCGTGTCGCGGGCGATCTGCCTAGAAAGTGCGGTGGAAGTGGCCCGCATCTTCCGCGAGTATCGTCCGCGGTTCGACCTGAAGTTGGTCTACTTTAGTGCCGTGCAGCACGCAGGCACCGCGGCAACGGCTTTGATCACCGGTCTCAATCACATAGAAGACGCGGCCAAGCGGGCCGAGCCCCTGCAATGCTTGTATACATTGGCGCGAGCCCTGCATGCCATGTCTCCGGTCTACCAGCCGGCAGAAAGGATGTCGACGGTTTTGGACCATATCTTTAGTAAAGCCGGATGGACCATCCCGAACCACCACCCGGCCGAGATGATCTCCACCAGGGGCCCCGGACCTCCGAGGAGATCTCCGGCGAAACGTCCAGGTCCGGCTCCTTCCTCCTCGGCCACCACTGTGGAAGAAGACCAATATGCAAAGAGGGCTCGGGTCTCCAGACCATCCTTCGTCACGGAACCCACGGCGGCGGCGGCGGCGACTGCTGCTGCTGCTGCTGCTGCTGCTGCTTCTCACACTACCGCTCATGCTACTGCCATGGCTAACGGTCATGCTAATAATGTGACCGCGGCGGGTGGTGGGGCGAACAATCAGGGTCAAGGTCAGGGGCAGGGGCAGGGTCAGGCTGGGTTTTCTCCGTTTTTGGATCCAGCCCTGGGGATGAGTTTTCCAGTTGATTCATATTACGGCTCTCAGTCGCAGAATGGCAATCATCATCCAAGAGGACACGGACACGGACAAGGACAGGGACAAGGGCAAATGGATTCGGATTTCCAGCCGAGTTTCCGCACCGACTACATAGAGACAGATTGGGACATGATTTTGGGCCCGCGCACCGCCGTGCCACGACGAGCGGGATTTCTAGATCTCAGCAGTGGCTTTGATCAATTGTTTCAATAGATATTATAACGATTGTCCGGTGTGGACTGGTGTGGACTGGTCTCTGCTGTCTGATTCTGCTGTCTGTCTCTGCTGCCTCTGCCTCTGTTTCCGCTGTCTGTGTCTGTCTGTGTCTGTCTCTGCTCTTTCTGCTGTCTGTTTCTGCTGCCTCTGTCTTTCCCTTACCCTAACTCTACCTCGTGTCTTCTTTATGTCATCTACCATAACAATTCCAATCAGGTCAAGGTAAGGCTGCCCTGCCAGCCACAACCACCAGAATCCATAGTCCCCGTTCTCAATGAACCAGAATCCAAATCTCCGCCCCAAATGAGTGTTGCGAGTTTTGTGACAGTAAGTATACCTGACTGAGCGAATGCGAATGCGAATGCGAATCCGAAGGCGAAGGCGAATCTGTAATGTATTGTAATTAATGCGATGAGTGATGACCGATCAGTTCTGAATGAGGATTTAATGTTTTCACTTCGCTTCACGCCTGTGTCGGCGCCAGCGCCAACGCAGAGACGGAGATATCGACACCAGCCTTGCCGGTAGCGGTAGTGGCTGAAGTATCAGTTCCGTCGACATTGGTTTTGGCGTCGGCTTTGGCTTCGTCGTGGTCGTAAGGTTCCAATACCTCCACATTCTTCAAATACGGCGTAGTGTCAGTCTTGAGGATCTCGCCAACAGTCATGCCGTTGCCGATCCAGGAGAACGAATTGATCGCCGACTCGGGCAGAGGCGTGAGGTCGAAATCCTCCCAGCGCGGGTGTTTCAGCAGTTCGCGCAGGGCGAGTGAACTGCCGGGGAAGAGGGCGACGACGCGACCGCTGGATTGGCCTCGTTTGAACCAGGACTTGCACTGTTCGTTGTTAAATCTGACTCTGACACTAGGACTTGAAGGTATGTGGTATGTGATGGGGGTGCTTGGGGAGGGGTGGACCGTTCGTTGGCTGAGTTCAAGCCATGTAATGCGGATGGGGATCTGCAGATGACACACAAGGAAACAATTCACTCACATTCTTCGCATACACTGTCCTCGGCATATATGCGTCGATGAAGTCGGAGAATTGACGGAGTGCAGATGGCCTGTAGGAGAGATGGGTAAGTTTATAGTCTCTCTGTCTTTGACACACACTCTCTCTCGCCATGAATTTCTTGTGGGTATATCTCTCTCCATGAATGTCTGTGTAGGTATCTCTCTCTTTGTGCATGTCTTGTGGGTATCTCTCTCTCCATGAATATCTGTGTAGGTATCTTTCCCTCTCTAAATGTCTTACGGGTATCTCACTTACTTGACTTGAATTCTCTCATACCCCTCCCGTTGGCACTTTGTAATCGCTTCAATCATATACTGGCACTGGGACTCGATGGCGACGATGGCGGAACCCGTGGGTGGGGTGCCATTGGGCCCCAAGAAGATGAAATAGTTGGGCATCTGTTCGGGGAAAATGCTGACATAGGCCTCGGGAAACCGATCGTCCCAGATCTTTTGGAGCGAGACGCCGTTGGCGCCGGTGACGGGGAAGCGTGGGCTGTAGGTGGTGTCGAAGCCGGTGGCGGTGATGATGGCGTCGACCTTGCGGAATCGGCCATCGACGGTCTCGATGCCGTCGGCGTGGACGCGCTTGATGGCGGTCGAGATGAAGTCGACGTTGTCTTCGCACACGGCTTCCAGGTAGCCGCCGCCAGGGGTCAGGCGGCGACACACGGGCGGGAAGTCTGGGATCAGGCTGTCGAAGACGGCGGGTTTCTTGGCCAGTTTCTGCTTCATCGACTCGCTGAAAATGGCCGTGCTTTGCAGGCTGGCTTCCGAGTTGGAGAAGGCCACCGTGTGCACCGTGTTGAGGAGGTGCTCGACGTATTCGCGGTACGCTTCGAATTTCTTGGGGTCCTTTTGGAACTCGGCCAGTTCTTGTTCTGTGTAGCGGGCTGGATGATGGATGAAATCAGTCATTCATGTTAGACTGGGGCTTGGGATTGGAGAGAACAGCCAAACTGTTTGTCATATATGATGTAATGTGATGTGATGTGACGGGCCGAAAGGAGGGAGAGAGGGAGGAAAGGAGGTTGAGACACTCACAATTCCCTCCATTTGGATTCCTCTTGAGTGCCTCGGCGCCGGCAAAGCCACCCGGTGCGATCCACGTCTTCGATCTCATGTAATGGTCGAGCCTCTTGACCAGCGGCTGGATGGTCGGCAGGACCTGGATTCCCGTCGACCCGGCGCCGATGAGGGCGACGTCTTTGTCCTTCAAGTCGTACGAGGTGTCGTAGTTGGCCGTGTGCATCAACTTCCCTTGGAAGTCCATCAACCCCGGGATGTCGGGCCACTGCCACGCGTTCAAGATGCCAGTCGACACCACCAGGAAGTCGCAGCTGTCGGTGAAGGTGGTGCCCGAGGCGAGATCTTTGACCTGCACCGACCATTTGGCTTCGCTGTCCTGCCATGCCGCACCCACCACCTCGTGACGCAGCTTGAGGTATCGATGCGTGCCATACTTCTCGGCCACTCTCTTGATGTACGACTGGATGTCCTGGCCGGCCGAATAGAACTCGGGCCACTGGGTGTAGTTTTCAAACGTGAATTGATAGGCTGGAAGACATGACAACATCCATCAGCAATCAGCCTTGTCTGGGTCTGCGCTGCCCGGCTCGACAGGGGAGGTTCGACTAAGTAAGAGAAATAAGGCAAGAGACATAAGGCAAGAGGCACTCATGTCAGACAAGAGATGGTTTATGACAATAAAAGATGAAGCAACTGCAGGGAGCCACTTCAAGGAACCACTTACACACACTGGGCAGGTCACACGCCACACCGGGATATCTGCAAAAGAAAGGCCACAGTTAGTCAACCATTCCATTAATCAACCAGTACCATCCTCATCATGGTCTGTGGGGATGGAGAATATACATAGGATATGAGATACGAAAGAATGATGGAGTGATTGATTGATTGATTGATTGCTGGGTTCTTACCTGTTTTCGTACCATGTCCCTCCTATGTCGGCATTCTTCTCGTAGATTTGAAGGGTCAAGTTCTTGATTTTTCGCGGGAACTGGATGGACGCGCAGAGGCCACTGAAGCCTGCCCCGATGCAGATCACTTTGACGGGTCGGTGGTCGTCGATGCCACGGTCGGGCAGGGCGAACGAGGCAGCCATGATGAAGCAATGTCGATGTCGATGTCGATAGATATGAGGGTTGGGGTTGGGGCTGTGACAGTGAATGCTTTGTTCTCAGGGGGTGTATGGGAGTCAGGGGCCCTTAAGTGCAGGAATGATACATGTCGCTGGTCGGATGGTCAGGTGTTGGATCTGGATCTGCATCTAAATCTGGACCTGGAGCTGTATCTGGAGCCGTATCCTGAACCGCCCGGAGCATGAGTCGCGACTGGTGGGTGGATGGTGGATGGGCGGGTGGCAAGGAAGACGCCGGAAGTGCAACGGCGAGGGATGTATCCAGTGACAGGGCCGGCATTCCATTCTATACCGTGCTTGTGCATGTGCATCCTGATGGCACCAAGTAGCATACAGTATGTACTCCGTACTGTACAGAGATATTCGTCTATTCCTCTATCTCTACCTCTACCGTAATAGGACAATTCCCGTTGCCAACATCCGCGCGGAAACCGTCGCCGATCGCCTTCGCCGGTCCGCCATCGGGGACGTTCCGCCGCCCCCTCCGCGGCGCACTAGAGGAAGTACCAAGCACTGTAACATCCGGATACCGTATCTGCCTCGGTACAGGTATGGTATTCCGTACAGTAAGCACTATCTTCTGTCTTCTAGCTTCTATCTTCTGTCTTCCTCGCGGAACAGAGCCATTAGGTGCAGCTGCAGGTCCGGGTTCTCCGTTTCAGTCTCCGTCTTCGAACATGGCCGGTTGTCGGAAGCATGGAATATGGAATGGACTTCCAGGCCTTAGGCTTAAGACTGTTTACCAACAATACTTTACATCTTCTTATACTCGGTCAAGACCAGCCTGGCCCACGGTCCATGTTTGAGCGTCACAGTCAATACCTAGGTAGTCACAGTCAGCGTCAAATCGAGAGTCAAGAGTCAAGAGTGCGCACTGGAATTCATTCCTGCCCGAGAAACAGAATCTGCCCAACCAAAGAGACCAGATCAGACCCTCCAGCCACTCCAGCCACCATGGTACAGGTACATCCAGGCAAAGTTGCCTTCATCACCGGCGCTGGTATGACTTATGATCCCCCAGCACATCGCTGTACACCTTGCGGCGCACTTGCACTTGGCTGACCTGACCCTCCACAGCCTCTGGCATGGGCCAAGCGGTGTCCCGCGACCTGATAAAGAAAGGATGGACGATCGCGGTGATCGATCTCGACCGCAAGACCGGCGCCGCTGCTGCCAAAGAGTACGGCGGCATCTTCATCCCCACCAACGTCTTTGTGTGGGAATCCATTCTCAGCGCCTTTGAAAGAGTGTGGGATACATATGGACGCATTGACTTTGGTAAGGAAACCAAACCGAAATAGCAACAACACCACGAAGATACCAGACACCAGACACCAGGTCTGGTCTCCATAAACCAACCTATCAGAGAACAATATCCCCTTTCCCTACCTATCCATACTGTATCCTATCATGGACCTCCCTTCTCTACCTATACTGACTATCCCTGTGCCTGCAGTGTTTGCCAATGCCGGCCTCGTCGGCCTGGAGCCCTTCTACAAGATCCAGACCCTGCCGCCCAAGAAGCCGCAGATGGTCGATAACGAGGTCAACACCGTCGGCGTCTACTACACCTGCTACCTGGCCATGCACTACATGCGCCAGAACCCCGTGAAGGGCGGCCAAATCATCATCACCAGTTCAGGTATGTATGAATGTATTATGCAGAGCCAGGTTGTTACATGCCACCACCGGCTGACTCTCTCCATCACCCACAGCCGCCGGCATCTACCCATCATACTCGATCCCGCTATACACGGCGTCCAAGCACGCCGTGGTCGGCTTCATGCGCTGTCTGGCCCCGGTGCTTCTGCGCGAAGGTATCCGCGTCAACGCCACCCTCCCCGGCGCGGTCAAGACCCCGTTCATGTCGGAAGAGGGCTGGGCCGCCTTCCCCGAATCCATGTTCACCACGCTCGACAACATCGTCGGCGGCGTCAATAAGCTGCTTGACGACCCGGACGCGTCGGGCGTCGCTCTCGAAATCAGTCAGGGCAACTACTATCCACGACCGCAGCACGAGTGGAGCGACGAAGCCCAGAAGTTGATCTGTACCGCGGCCGGCAAGTTCGACCCGGACACCATGTTGTAGGATTAAGATTGGAGTATAGTAAATAGATGGCAATTAGAGAGCTGGTCCGGCCAGTCCATGCTCATGCTCATGCTCATACGTGGAATACGGTCTTTCTTTATTTGCTGTCTGGGGATTCAGCTCGTCTTGACATTATAGTAGACCCTAAGACATTAGGTATTTCTGGCTGTGCTGTGCTGTGCTGTGCCTATGCCTGTACCCAAGCCAGACTTGATCATAGGGTATGCCAGAGCACTGTCCAGCATTTGGCTCTGTCGCTCGTCTCCTGTCGCTCGCTCCTACCAAGTACAGAGCACTAACTAGTAATTGGCATTGACACATCTCTCTCAATTACACAGGTATGTACTCTTGGCTGCCGGTAAGTATGCTAGACAGACACGTGTATATAACTTGTGATGTATGTACATTATCCTTATATTCAAATTTATACAGTAAAACGAGATGCTATCTATCTCTAGAGCTAGGGTGAGATAGGTATAGGTATAGGAGTAGGAGTTTGCTCTTATTCTTTCTTGTTCTTGTTCTTGTTCTGACGGTCTACACACACATACACACACACACATATATATTATACTAGACATACACATAGATATATACAGTACCAGATATTAGACACCATATACTACATGTGTGTAGATACTATATACTAGATACTAGATACTAGACACCATATATTCGTTCAAAGCCGTACTTTTTGTTTTTGTTTTTTCCCTTCTCCCTTATCTGCTCCGATTGTTCCAAGTGCCTTCTGCTGTTGTCTTGTCTCTATAAAGATGATGCCTGCACAGTCTGGTCTGGTTCCATCTTGACTATGGAGTCGTGACTCGGATTTATGCTAGATATCCAGGATACTGGCTGGCTGGCTGTCTGGCTTGGAGAGGTGATAGCTCAATTCATTTTCCACCTCCCGCCTCCGACCTCATTTTATGTCTGCTCAATGAACCAGCTCTCGCCTCTCCAGCCTCATCCACATGTCAGTGAACCAACTCTCGCCGCCCTCAATATGGTACTTGGGCGGGCGGGACTGGTCGAGGGTGGGTTTGAACGCGCGCAAAAACTCCAACGGGCCCTTATACAGCTCCAAGCGCGCAAACTCCTTGCCGAGACAGATGCGCGATCCGTAGCCGAAACCGAACTGGTATTTCTGGTACAGGGTGGCTTGCTCCTCGCTTTCCAGCCATCGCTCGGGCCGGAATTCCTCGTAGTCGGGCCCGTAGATTTTCGAGTCGCGGTGCACCACGTAGGGATTGCAGGTCAGCTGTGTGAAGATGTGGTCAGGTTGTGGTTTTCGTTTTCGGTTTCTTTTGCATTTTCATCCAGATGGAATCTATATGTAGGATGGCTCTACACTCCTGGGATCTGGGTTCAGGGATCAAACTAAACATACCTCGGTGCCTTCGGGCACAAACTTGCCGTACAGATCGAGACCGCCCTTGGACACTAGGCGCGGGAATAGACTCGGGGCAGGAGGACACAGGCGTTGCGCCTCTTTGATGCAAGCCATGTCTGGGAAGTCAAGTCGTGTCAGTACTGCAGCATTAGACCTTGAAGCCTCACGCTGTGTCGAAGACCACTAGTGGTAGAGTGGTGGAGTGACAGAGAGAGAGAGAGAGAGAGAGAGAGAGAGAGAGAGAGAGAGAGAGAGAGAGAGACTTTCCTGACCCTCCACCCTTCCCACCCTTCTCCAAAAGAGGGCAGGAGAGAGTCATTCCCCATCTTGACTGGGAGCAATCACGGTACTTACAATATGGTAGGTGCTGCAATACCTCGTCGAACTGGGCCAGTTTGCTGAGATGGCCGGCACGGGTGGCGTTGTCGACCTCATTCATCAGCTTCTCGTACACTCGGGCATCGCGAGTGATGTAGTTGAGCAGCGCCTGCACGGTGGTTCCCACGGTATCCGCGCCGGCAACACTATAGTGACACATGGTCGAGAGTTAGTTGATTCCACCCCCACAGACCGGTTCTGATCGGTTGAGATTTCACCGTCACTCACAGGATGATAAACACCTCGGTTTTGATATGTTCAAACTCCAGTGGCTTGCCCTCGGTCGTGCGGATCTCCATCAACCTAGACATCATATCATCAGCACCATAACAATCACAGCACCATCACAGCACCCGGCTCAAATCAACCAAGACATGAGTTTTCCGAGTCACGACTTCAACTTACGACTGCAGCAAATCCTGGCGGCCGTCGAACTTTCCACTTTCAATCTCCGACAGTCTTTCTTGGATCAGCCGATCACGGAACTGGAATCAAGAAGAACACAGACGTCAGCAAAAGACCGAGTTCGAGGTGGCGGGTTGGGTTGAGTGTTGGGTGACCTGCCCTCATGATCATGCCGATTCCATCGTCGTTTTCCGGTTTCGCAATCATGTATTTGTTGGCGATCCAGGGAAATTTCTTGACGAAATTGGTGATGGGATACAAGCGACCCATGGCACCGAAGAGATGCAGTCCTTCGTGGTATCCCGTGATCAGGTTGTCCACGTCGGCGCCTTGGTCGATGAAGCCAAAGGGGCCGCCAAAGCCCAGGTCGGAGATGACGTCGTAGGCCCAGAAGACCGGCCACAGCGAGAAGTCGAACTCCTGGCCGGGCTGGACGAGCAACTCATCCATGCGTTTGATCCATTTCTCCGTGTGTCGGTCAATGAGGCTCTCGTTCTTTCGCATATTGCTCAGAGTATACTATGTCCCGTCCCCATCCCGTTAGATGCCATGTTCATGTCATCAATACAAATCAGATAGGGGCTGGGACTCACGGGACCAGCAATGGCTTTGCGGTACTTGGAGTGCTCCGAGTGTGCTTGCATATGAAACAGACTCTCGGTGGCTCCAAACGAGCCGGTAATGTAGTGCTTGGACTTGTCGGCTTGCCGGTGATAGATGACAGGCAGTTTGGTTGCATCGCTCACGTGGAGCATGGCTGGACTTATTCTCACCACGGGGCCTGTTGGGCAACCGGGGAGGAGATGGAGTCAGTCAACTTGTTTCTGGCGGTGGTTCTGGTTCGGCGCCTCTAGTCGGGTTCACCTGCTTAACTCACCGTATTTCTTGGACAGCTCAAACAACACATACGGCTCCTTTTCCTTGTAACACTGCCAGGCCAGCCAGAACCGAGTCACGGCGGCCAGGCGGGGGCCGGGAAACTTGGCGAGGGGGTGGAAGTAGAGGTTGTATATCGCATTCCCGACCAGATATACCACCAGGCCAACACTGGCGACCACCACGGCGGTGACGAGGCTGTGGCCGACCTGGGCGACGTTGGGCGAAGTCATGATGGATGGGAAGGCTGGGCTGTCTTGTGTTGGTTGGTCTGCAATTACTGTGCAGATAAGACTGCTGGGAGATGGATGTCTCGTCGGCTTTTACAGGAGGAATAGGAATGTTGTTGAGACGTATCGATATCTCAGCCCCTATCTCTCGCTGGTGGTCTCAACCCCTGAAGACGCAGTCCAGAGTAGACGTTATGGCCAGTATCACCAGCAAGAATAATGGCAATAACCTGTCGCGATAGGATGTCTCGGTAGGGACAGACAGTGACTCCATTCAGGCAGGCTCCTTCTCCGTAGGCTCCAACTCGAGTGGGTGAGCGAGTGGAGCTCACTGGAGATAGGAAGATGTGATGCGATGGGCGGCGGGGGGATGGTCAGGCTTAGAGAGGGGATCTCAGGACCCATCTTCCATCCCCCATCCCCATCCAGGGCAGGGGCGCATTTCATTATCCGCCTCGCCCTCACCCTCAACACCCTCCCATCATCCCTCTCTCTCCCCTATCTCGCACGAGAGTGATTCGGCTGTGTTCATCAGCCTCCTTGATCATGTACCGGCGACGACACAAGGTATGAATAGGTGCAAGATGCCCGCTGGCCATGTCGACCGAGGTCTGAGGTCTTATCTCTACGTGGACCGTCCCATCCGCACCTTGTTGTCTTTGTCGCTGTCGCTGTCGCACCACCCAGCAGCACCATGGCAGAGCTGCCCACAGAAAAGATCACCCTCAAGTCCCGACTTCAGGTGCAGAGCGAGGCTGCCACCAGCGATGCCCCTGACCCCGACATCCAACCAGGCTCCACGGCGGCAACGGCAGCGGCCCTCGACGCCATCCACCTGGCCCCCGGATACTACACCAGCTTCAGGTTCCTAGGATCGGCCCTGGCGGTCGGCCTGGGGTTCGGCTGTGGAGTGGGCGGCTACTCCTTGATCGCACCCATTCTGTCCTACATCGACGCCGACATCGGGCCGGACGCGAACATTGTCTGGGTGTCGTTGGTGTACACGCTGACCTCGGCCATCGGACTGCTGCTCTTTGGCCGGCTGTCCGACCTGTTCGGCCGGCGCTGGTTCTTCGTCGGGGGCAGTGCGCTGGCCCTCGTCGGCAGCATCGTGTGTGCCACGGCCAACAGCATCCCCATGTTGATCGGCGGCGAGACCCTGCTCGGGTTCGCCTCGGCCAGCCAACTGTCGTACGGCTTCACGCTGGGCGAGCTTCTCCCCATCAAGTACCGGTTCCTGGGCGTCAGCTACTGCTACCTGTTTGTCATCCCCTTCTCCGCCCTGGGGCCCGGGGTGGCCTACGCGCTGATTCTGCACACCGCGGCCGGCTGGCGGTGGTGCTACTATCTCCTGATCATCACCAACACCATCTGCACTTTGTGCTGGTATTTCTGCTACTACCCGCCGACCTTCCAGGCCAAGAACGGTGACCAGACCTTCTGGCACAAACTTGCCCAGCTGGACTACCTGGGCCTGCTGCTGTACACCGGCGGCCTGCTGCTCTTCCTGATGGGCCTGTCATGGGGCGGCTCCGTGCACCCGTGGCGGTCGGCCTACGTGATTTGCACCATGGTCATCGGCCTCCTGATGCTGGTCGGCTTTGTGCTCTGGGAGGCCTGGGCCACCCTCCAGGAACCCATGTTGCCCCTGCACCTGTTCAAGCAACGCGGCTTCGCCTCGGCCGTGCTGATGGTCTCCATCGGCGCCAGCGTCTACTATGCCTTTGCCATCTTGTGGCCCAACATGGTCAACATCCTCTATTCCGAGGGCGAAACCACCATGTGGATTGGCTGGGCCTCGTGCACCACTAATGCCGGATTCACCTTGGGCGAGATCTGTGGCGGCGTCCTCGCCAAGGTGTTTAAGAAGGTCAAGTATCAACTCATATGTGCCACCGTTTCATCCGCAGCCTTGTTGGCCGGTGAGTGAGCTCTTCTGTATTCTTTCCTTCTACAAGCCAAGATCTGTATACCTCTACTGTATTCTTGAGCCCAAGATCCGATTCTCTCCTCAAACCTCGCTGATATTTGGCCCCTGCTGCACAGCCGTCGCGTCCTGCACGCCCCACACCAAAGACCGGGCCATCGGGCTCATCTTCGTCGGCACTCTGTTGGTGGGGTGGTATGAATCCATTTCCTTTACTCTCACCACCGTGCTGGTCGACGACCAGACCGAAGTTGGCACCGCCGCTGGACTGGGCGGCTCGGCACGCTCGGGCATCTCCACCGTCTGCTCAGTCATCTATACCGTCGTGCTCAGTAACCGCCTGGCCAGCACGGTGCCGGCTCAAGTCGTGCCTGCCGTCACCGCCGCCGGTCTGCCCGCCTCTTCCGTCGCCAGCTTCCTGACCGCCTTGACCGCCGGCACGCCTGACGCGTATGCCAAAATCCCCGGCATCACCAACGCCATTCTGGCCGCCGGGCAGCAGGCCTACAAGACGGCCAACGCAGATGCCTACCGCACCGTTTCTCTCACCACACTGGCTTTTGGCGGCCTGGCCATCATCGCCTCGCTGTTCATGGGAGAGGTGGAGAGTCGAATGACCGGCGAGGTGACTGCGAAGCTCCACCTTCGTAAGGAGAAGGAGGCAACCAGTGCGGAGACTGCGGCAGTCTGAACCGTGTCATGTCATAGCAGGCGGACCTATGTATTTCGTAGATCAGTCTCGGTCAGCAGATGGCTAGTGTTGGTAACGGGAAGAGAGGCTGTTGTTTCTGTTTCTGTTTCTGTTTCTATTTGAATCTATGTATCATCGATCGATTTGACCAGAAGTCAACAATCTTGCACCCATCAAGATAACGTTGAGCTGAACTGAACTGAACTGAACTGGGCTGGGCTGGGCTGGGCTGCATCTCGCTAGATCGTTGCTGAATCAGCCATTGTATCTATTCTGATGATATCGTCCAAGGCAACTTGCTCCTCTTCTGCGGGAAATAGAAACCTCTGTTATCTCTATCTCCTGAGACTGAGACTCGACCATCTACTGTAAAGCTGTCCTGTCATCCCAAGACGCGCATCCTGTACCGTTAATGTCCCGGGAGTGCCGGAAGAGCCATCATCCATCGACTCATGGTCTTCACTTGACGGTTCCCTTGGGGCGATACAATGAGAAGTCAGGGCTCCAGGCCCCTATCACATCATGACTTGACGCTTTCTTATCTCCCACAGGAATTCCGTAGATGATGATGAAAGTGGCTTCACCTACGGAGGACACAGGCATCTCAGATGAGCTTCATTCACATTGATGACAGTATCCATATCTCTATCCCTATCCCTATCCGTGTCCTTGTCCGTATGGTATGCTGGGCGGAAAGGAAAGCGGGTGAGGGTGAAATGATGCGCGGCGCGGATTTCAAGATCCGCCAGCTTCTGTAATCGACACCTCACACCCTCCACCCTCCTATCTTCGCATCTTCGCTTATCGGGCTGGAGCTGAGCTACACTGTTGTACCGTGCCTGACTATCATCTGAAGCTCGACCACACCACCACCTACCTCTATCAGGGGCGTAACCTGTTGTAGCACTCCAACGGAATGCTTATGCTGATGCTATCCAGGGAAGTGACTATACTAACTATATCTGATGGACTAGGGGATCTCAGATATAATATCACGGCTGTGCACCTGTACCTGCACCATGTCTGAAGAGCGAAGAATTGGCCGCCCCTGACTCTCCTGCCTGCGAAGAGAAGAGTTGGCAATTGGCCCCCTGATTCTATACTGCATACACATACAGTACAGCTTACAGCACATACATCCTTGATTTCAAACCCCTCCGTCTCCCACTCCTAGGGTTCGGTTCTCATCGTTCAAATCCACCATGTCTACTACGTGTACCGATGAACTCCCGGTTGAAGTTGGCGGTGATGGCGTTGCCCTCGATCTCGACAACCGCCTGGCTCGCGACTTCAGTCTCCTGGGAGTCATCAGCCTGGCCTGGAACTGTGTCAACGTCTTTGGCGGTCTGTCCTTCATTTTCGTCGTTGGCTTTTCTGCAGGCGGGCTTCCTGCCATCTTTTATGGATTGTGAGTGGAGTGGCGTGCATACCGTACAAGAAAGAGATCGTCTTGATCCTGATCTTGGTCGTGATCCTGATTCCTTGTTCCTCTACCACAATTCACTAACCAACATGCTTTGATATACAGCATCGGCGCCAGCGTCTGTGTAGCCTGCATGACGGCCGTCCTGGCCGAATGTGCCTCGATCTTTCCCACAGCAGGTCAGTGCAGCGTCCCCTCGGGCCCCCCATTGAAGTTGCAGTTGAACTTGATTTGAATGGTCGCTCGATTCCTTGCTGACTTTTGTCTTGACTAGGCGGAGCTTACCACTTTGCTACCTTCCTTGTCCCTCAGAAATACCGATCCGGCGTCGGCTTCGTGCTGGGTTGGATCAACTATCTTGCCTGGACCTTGGCTGCCGCTGCCTGCTATTCGATTCTGTCCAGCTTGATCTTCGCCTTCGTCTTCGAGACGCACCCGGACTTTAGTCTGAGTGGGAGATACCAGTTGTTTCTAGTCTACGTCGCGGTCGCCATCGTCTCTTGGGCCGCGAATCTCTTTTGCCTCAGTGCAATCCCCCTTCTCGGAAACATTGGATGTGAGTGCAAGTCTACATGTACATGCCAAAGGGACAACTTCGAGTCCTGTTGGTAGTTATTCCGATCACTTCGAGTTGATGATGATGATGATGCTAATATTTGCTGCCTCCAGGTTATGGCAGTATGGCGACCTTCGTGGCCTTCACCATCACCCTACTCGCAGTGTCGAAAAAGGCCGATCCCGCCTCGGTGTTTGTGGATGTCATCAATGCTACTGGGTAAGTTGACACCTTGCCGTTGCCATTGTTATCCTGTTTCCTTAGATGCTACTGCCACGGCCACGGCCACAGACTTTAATACTCAGTATTAAATACTAACAATCTATCTCTTGCTACAGATACTCCTCCAACGCCATGGCAGTCGTGCTGGGCCTGTACAACAGTATGACGGCCCTGGTGGCGCTGGACGCCAGCTGTCATATGGCCGAGGAGATCAAGCAGCCCACCAGAATGATCCCGAAGATCCTCTACATCACCATCGCCTTACAGTTCCTCGTCGGAGTGGTTTGGATTCTGGCCATTGGATTCTCCATTCAGGATTCAGATGCCATCATCAACAGTCCTTCAGGGTATGGCTGTCATCCCGCACTACATTTGCACAAGTGTCTGTTTTTGTTTCCACGCTCCCTTGCTAATCTTCTCATTTCCTACCGTCTTAGAGTCCCCATCTTCGAACTCATCTTACAAGGCACCCGAAGCAAGGTCGCCCAATATATCTTCATGGTCATGCTTACCATCAACTACATCGCCGCCGCTGTCGGCTGTAGCTTGACCGCCAGTCGACAGGGCTACGCTCTGGCGCGGGACGGAGGTCTCTTTCTGAAGACAAGGTGAGAGAGCCAACCCTTTCTTTTTATTTCTATTCGACTTCTATACTCGGAGCCAACCTTACCCTTTTCCCATCTGATTTATATATACATATACCTTGATTCTAACTAACGTCCGAGCAAACAGAATGACTCGAGTTCACGGCACACTTCACGTACCGGTGTGGTCGGTTCATTTGGTCCTGGTCATCACCCTATTGGCGGGGATAATGTAAGATGATCCTAGTCTATCTAAATACATGGCATATCTACGCCCTCATCACTAAACATTCTCACCCCACCATCATCTACTTCACTTCCACATCTATATACACAATCTTCCATATCCTCGTCCTCAACATATCCCCATCTATATCCCATCAGCACGGTGTCACGGAACACTACTTGTCCAACAATGAACAATCAACTCCTTCCCTACTAACCAATGACCCTGGGCAGTTTTCTCGCTTCAACCACCGGCTTCAACGCCATCCTCGGAGTCGACGCAGCATTCATGATCATAAGCTACAGTACGGCCTTGGCTCCCCCTCCCCATCCCATCCCCATCCAGCTGGAGAGTCTCTTCTCTACATTGATCCCGATCTCGACTGCTTCTTACATTGACCCCGATCCCGATTCCCGATTTCTATCCTATCCATGATCGAGTGACCGACCCAAGAAAACCAATCCATGTCTGGTCTCTTGTTTCTAGTCTCATTAACTAACCATATCCTTGCCTTGGTGTCATTATAGCCGCGCCGCCGTTCGTCATGCTCTGCACCCGTCGCGCCGGCGTGCCCAAGACACCCTACAATCTCGGCAAATTCGCTTATCCGTGCTGTGTGGTGTCGATCCTGTACTGCATGACGGCAGTGGTTCTGATCATGGTGCGTATTTGTCCAGTTTATGTTTGTTGTCTAGACAATTGGTCTGGTCTGGTCTATTGGTCTAGTCTATTGGTCTGGTCTATTGGTCTGGTCTATTGGTCTGGTCTATTGGTCTGGTCTATTGGTCTGGTCTATTTGGTCACCAGTCCAGTTATCCATCCATCATCCATCACCTTGGTTAGGCTAGGCTAACCTCCCCCATCATCCATTTCACTGTGGCTAAGCTAAACTAACCTCCCGGGATCCCCCATAGATTCCATCCGTCTCTCCCATTACCGCCTCCAACATGAACTATTCGATCCTGATCTTCTTCGTGTCGTTACTAGCCATGCTGGTCGCCTGGCTAGCTGGCGCCAGGAAATCGTACCGCGCACCCGTCTTGGAATTCATCGTCGGCTCAGTCTCTACTATCGACGGCAAAAACGGACATGAAAACGAAAACCAAAGCCAACATGAAAACGACGCTGATGCGCTGGGAAAACCTAATCCCACCACCATTGCCCTGGGAGAACAGTAGTGTCAACTGAAGCACAGTATGGTATGGCTAAGCTGTTCACGGTCTGAGTTGTTACTTGTACAGTATGTTACGTGTCTATACAGGCCTATACATGTCTATATAGGTATGCCTGTATGCCAGAGCCTGAGTCCGAGGCTTTACCTATGTCTATGTCTATGTTTATACTTATGTTTACGGCATTGTGACATTGTGACATTGTGGCATTGGGGTACTGTGACATTGTGACACTATGGCAATTACTACCACATGTCGAGAGAGAGAGATGTATATATATATCCATGTCCATGCACGGTTTACGCATGGTTTACTTGGTTTACTACACAAAACTGGGCTCGGAGAAGTGGCGTGGATTGATTGATATTCTACCTCTACCTCTATTTCTATTCCAGTCGTGTTTAGGGCCACCTATAGTACCGCTTCATAACTAGGGGGAAAGGTGAATTCTGCTTATAAGAATACTCCTTCTGCTTTTCTTTCCTTTTTCTCTTTCTGTTTCTATCTCTTTCTCTGCTTGTTTCATATGACTCTGCTGAAAGAGGTTTAAGTTTCTCCTTTCCGTCGATACCGATAGCTCTCTCAACCGGGCTTGATCCTCGTGCCACAATATGGATGGATATCAAGACAATCGAAATTCCTTCCCTCCCGCTGGCTCTTCCATACACCAGCACGTACGTCCGTCCAGCTTAGGTGTCGAGTATCGAGGGTCGAGTAGTGCCATCCGAACACGAAGAGGCTGTGGCTGGAGTCTGGAGTCTGGAGTCCAGAATGTCATGACTGTCACGGTTTCATGTCAGTCTCTGTTTCTTGCCAGTCCTCGTTTCTTGCCAGTCCTCGTTTCTTGCCAGTCCTCATGTCGAAGATTAAAAGGTTCGTTGTTCTCTACAATAGAATTGAGTAGGGGTGTTATGCTCTATGAATACCTAGATATAAGCTACCCATGCCCTGGTTGAATTCTCTGACAAAATTGGATCGTTCAACTTGCAGACATACTTCGACCTTGACCTCGACCTCCTCAAGTCATGAAGTAGATGTACGCAACAAAATAACATCCAGGAGCCACAAATACACACCACACAAGTTTTAACTCCAACTAGATCAATCCGAGGTTCCAAGACTAGATTCAATGAAATCCAGAACTACAACTACAGTCCCATTTCCAGTCAAGTATGCTTAAGCAGCTCGTTGTAAAGGGGACAGACATGTTGGAATTATTTCTGGTTTGGTTTGGTTTGTTTGTTCTCTTTCCCCGACTTTTATATACATGTCTATACCTGGTTCTCAACCTCCCAGATTGCTTTGATCTTCTCATTGCCGAATGGGATAGGGTCTGTCAAGGGAAATCCAGTCAGGTCAGCATTTATTGTTCAGTAATTAGAGAGACAATCTCAGCCCTGTTCAGTGGTTGGGTGATCTCAGCATACCTCTACTCTGATGGTCCTGCATCATAATCTCAATTGCTTGGCCATACATGGTGTCGTCGTCGAGGACCAGGTTGACGACCTCGACGATTTTGGAGATCGGAGTATCCAATTCGGTCGGGAAGGCATCCCAGGCATCTTGGCTGAGCAGAGATGTTTTGACACTGCTCGGACAGATGCAGTTGACGCGAATCTTCTCCTTCATCAACCGGCCGGCGATGGATCGCATGAAACCAACGCAGCCGTGTTTCGCCGCGCTGTATAGGGGCAGGTCGGCCGTGGGATAGAAGGAGCCGATGGATGCAGTGATGATGATGCTGCCGCCGCCTCCACCACCAACGTCGTCACCACCGGCGGCGCTGTTCGTGTTCTTGTTCTTGTTCTTGCGAAAGAAATGCTGCGCCAGGTAACACGTCGAGATGACGGCGTCAAGATCGACCTTGAGCACATCCATGTTCAGTGGGGGTGGGAGACCGGCCGAATCCGACTGCTGCACGGCATAGAAGGACTGTCTGTCAATGATCCCTGCATTTGCGAACACTAATCAACCGGAAAAGCATCAGTCTCATGCGAGCTCAGAGGATTGGATTGGGTCAGATTGGTTGCAGCACCAAAGTCAAGCCGGCCATAGTGCTCCCATGCTCGTACAAAAGCGTTTCCTAAGGCCTTGAAATCGCTGACGTCGACTTCGATGAAGATGCTGTCCGATTTTCCCGTGGTCTGGGTCTGTTCGCCGGTCGGGGTTGGGTTTCGGTCGAGAATCGCAAGCTTCCAACCCCGGGCAGCTAGAGACTGGCTCACGGCGAGGCCCATGCCAGAGGCTACAGTACAGAGTAAGGAAGTGTCAGAAAGCGAAACCCTTGAATACCTTTGGATGACATAATGGACACGCTTGGGTTTCGACCTTACCTCCGCCCGTGATCAATGCCACCTTCGTAGACATCCTGATGGATGCAGGACCAGGATCAGGCCGCGAATCCAGCGTCCAGATCAGGGATCAGGACCTTGAGGTCTGTTCTGTGCCACTTGTGGCGTGGCTGTTGCTGTTGCTGTTGTCGAACTCTTATCAAGCTATATCTGCCACTGCCCTGAACCCTGAGGTCAGTCGCACGGTCGCCTCGGAAGTCGAAATCGAACTCCGCCACCAACATGTGCTGTTCCGGCAACCCCAATCTCGGCGGAAGCCAAGATCCGGCCGATATACTGTACAGTATCTGTAGGCCTGGCCTGAGTTGAGGTTGAGCGAATGACGACCCCTTAAGCTCAGTCACCCGGAGCACGACCAGGTAGACACCGTCTAGACCTGCATCTCCTTCCTATCTACGGGGTACACCTCGGTTCAACAGATGAGGATGAGCCTTATCTAACTCACGCACCACACATGGACGGCATGGCAGATTCAAGTATCATCTCTGTTGCCTCAAGCGCGCTTTCTAGAAGGTGCATCTCCGAAACCGTGCTTGAGAAAAGACCCTATCTGAACCGAGGCTGATATACTGTAGTCGTATTTGAAGGGATCAGGCAGTGAGCCGTGGGAGAGCGGTCCCTGGGATATACGGAGTAATACGCCGTACAGGAGTTGGCACCCTTAAAGCGGCATTTGATACACATCACACCTCACATGACATGGCGATGGCCAAGACCTCTACGCGTGGCCCTGACGCGTAAAGGACTGACGCGTGAAGTGCTCTGACTCTGACTCTCTCTCTGACGTTGGATGGTGCAGGTGGTTTATACGGAGTACAGTGTACAGTATATGCCCAACAGGCCGTTCCCTCTCCCTCAAGACCCAATACCTCTCTCTCCGTCCTATGGATTCATCATGCCAATCTCGGCCCTGCCTGAGGCCACATCCCGCGCTCTCGGCTCTTCCCTTGTCCTCAACGATGCAAAATCAGTGGTCAAAGAGCTGGTCGACAACGCTCTCGATGCGCGTGCGTCAGCCATCAGCATCGAAATCTCGGCCAACACGCTTGATGTCATCCAAGTCAAGGACAATGGCACCGCCATCGGCATTGAAGACAGACAACTTCTCTGTCGGCGAGGATGTACCTCCAAGATCAGATCCATGGACGACCTTGCCCGGCTGGGAGGCACGTTCCTCGGATTCCGCGGCGAGGCGCTCGCCAGCATGGCCGAATTGAGCCAGGCTGTGGTTGTCACCACTCGAGTAGATGGCGAGATCGTTGCCACATCGCTCAAATACGGTGCTTCCGGATTGCTCAGGTAGGTGTGGGAAAGCTCCTTTCTTGGCTCATCGTATCATGGCATGACCGTTTCAGTTCTTCTTCGGCATCTCATCCTGTCGGGACGACCATGCGTGTCCAACAATTCCTCTCAAACATACCTGTAAGGAAGCAAACAGCTTTGAAGAACTCCGCCAGAACTCTGCAGGCCATCCGAGCAGCCCTTTTCCAATTTGCCTTTGCCAGACCAGACGTCCGTTTCTCCTTCAAGGTCCTCAAAGGGAAAAATGACAAACTGAATTGGACATATGCTGCGAGTTCAAATGACTCATTGCTCGAAGTCGGTGCAAAGATTGTAGGAAAGGACCTTGTCTCGCAGTGCACGGCGTCGAGCATATCATCGGCCGACCCCGAGATCGAGATGGAAGATGGATGGGAGATTGACGCTCTTCTTGTCTCCGTGGATGCAGGCGCGTTTTCTAATCACCATACCCATATGCTTTGGTAGGTCATACTGACGTGTCTAGCTAGACACTGAGAAAGTGCGTGGCGGCAACCAGTATATCTCCATCGATGGCCGACCTGTCAGTTCAGACCGAGGTACAATGAAAGAGATCATAACGACTTATAAGCGATATTTGCAACACGCCCTAGACCGTTCAGATACCTCTCCTATTTCTCGACCATTTCTCGCCATGCAGATCCGATGTCCTCCCGAGACCTACGACGTGAATATTGAACCAGCCAAAGATGAGGTTCTTTTCTTCCGTCCATACCTCTTGTTGTCATTGGTAGAGAGTCTCTTTCAAAAAGTCTATGGGGTTCTTAACGACGAGACTCATACTCCCGAGAAACCACGAAGAAATCCCGAACCTGCCCCTAAAGTCGACGGGAATATGTATGAGGCGGACCCGCATGGATTCGAATTCCCCGAAACTCTCAAGCAGAGGACCCACGGCAGCATCAAGTCCGACCAAGCTGAGGAGACGTTTGAGCGAAAGCAGTCATTCTTGAATCCATTCACCATTGCGGCAATGAATGCAATAGTGGCCCCAAAGAAGATGGGGCCCATAGAACGAGGCACCTCGTCCGATTTGGATTCCGTTACCACACCAGGCCACGAGTTGAAAGGATCATCCTGCGAGCCGCAACGAACGGTAGCTATATCGCATCAAACTCCGCTGGGACCACCGCGCCATCTGCCCTCACCTAGCACATTTGAGTCGAGTCCCATCAGATATCAAAACCCTTCACCGCCCATGAGACCACGAGTAGAAGCCACTCTACATGCTAGAGGTGGGACAACACGATCCCCGGACGAGAAGCATGATGTCCACGCTCTACAGCCGAAGACAACAGCACTTCAAGCATGGCTGACGCCGGATTCCGAGACACGTCCTCCTTGTAGAGACCGCGTCTGCCAGCCGGTTCTGAACCGTCCAGCAGAAAACCCACCTAGAGATTTGCCCTCGGATCTCCCATCTAGTCCAACTGAGCCTGAACGTAGATCAATCCAGCCAACCACAATCTCTTACGGGGGCCTAAAATGGGGAGCCGGTCAAAGACCTTTCAAGTCGCCCTTGAAATCCCTTGGTCACAGCCATCCTTCGCAGGCAAGCCGGGGTCTGCCGGAAGTTCGCCCCAATGCACCGGATCAAGGTCGTCAGCCAGACGGTCAGGACACCGACGTTACCTCTGGACTCAGCGAAGAAGGCGGCTGGGATAGGGGACCTGATGGGCACGGGCAGCTTTCGCGACACCCGAGCCTCAACCAGGCCGTCATCTTGGACTCGGCCACCGAACTCAGCGATATCATGGATTTTGAGCACCGAAAGAAAGCCGCCATAGCACATCAGAGGAGACTAGCAGCAAGCTTCCCGCCAGGAGCTCCTATGGAGAAACCTACCAGACGGCGACCATCTCATGTTCATGGGTTGACTCCATCGACAGCAGAGTGTGCTAGCGTCTCCCAACTCGAGGATGAGGATGAGGACGAAAATGAAGACTACGCCGGCAAGTTCAGTGGTGTCGAAGCTCCGGCGCGTAACGGGGCAAGGTCCAATCCTCACCAGAACCGATATCAAGCAGCGCTTCGAAATCTGTCTCACTCGCGTCCGCGCGTTTTGCTCGCTGGTGCCGCTGAAAGACACAGTGACAGTAACAGTCATCACTCCGAGAGTGTCGCGCCAGAGTCAGAACCTGAACGCGAACGCGAAGATGAATCTGACCGACTACCACTTTCCAAAGACGACCCAAGAGCATACTTGATCCGACACCGGCGAAAAGTCGAAAGCGGCGACTCCAAGCTCTACCGTACGCAGCTGTCCCGTCTGCCACTCGAATCTATCCCTTCGGGGACCACGACTGTACATCTCAAGCTAGAAACAGACGCGTTCGCAGACATGGCGGCCCTGACGAAACAATTGCAGGGTCACGCGGCGTCTGACCGCTACGTGACGCACGGCGAGGTGGAGGGCCCCGACTTGTTCGAGACACCTATATTTATGTCTAGTGACTGGCAATATATCCTGCGCGACCTAGTCAAGACGAAATACCGCTTCGAGGCCGAAGATGGGAGGGCGCTAGTGCCGCATTTGAAGGTGGAGATTTCACAAACCCGAATTTGCTGATCTACTATAATTACGATGACGATGACGTTGATGTTGGTGTTGATGTTGATTTTCGTGTTGAGTTGTTTGTTATGGACACTGATCGAAGAGAAAGATGCTGAACGGTGGACGGCGTTCGCAGCGGAAGAGAAAGATGCTGAACGGTGGAGGGCGTTCTCTGCGGAAGAGAAAGATGCTGAACGGTGGAGGGCGTTCTCTGCGGAAGAGAAAGATGC